TTTGAAAAAGCTGCACATGAAGCCGCAAAAACTATGTTTCCTGGAATAGCTATCATTGGATGTAGATTCCATTTAGGTCAGGCATGGTGGCGTAAGGTAATTAAATAATATTGTTACTTAATTTTTATATTTATATTTTATATTTTAAAATTTTATATTTGATATTTAGATACAAGAACACAATATTCTAAGAACTTCATATTTGATAGATGGAGATGAATTAGGCATTTGGTTAAAATCATTTTTTGGATTACCGTTTCTCCCAGTGGAAAAGGTTGAAGAAGGCTTTTTAGAACTCATGAGTATGTGTTCAAATGAAAATGGCTATATATTTTCTGATTACATACTTAAGTCGTACATAGAATCTGGTTGTCTATTTCCCCCTGAATTATGGGCAAGTGAACCTTCAATTAGTCCAAGGTAATTTACATTTAATTTTTTATAATACATTTTATTTAGGGATACTGAAAAAAATTGTATTGTTAGAACCACAAACGGAGCAGAAAGTTTTCATAAAATGTACAACGGACAATTTCACAGTGCTCACCCACCAACGCATGTAGTAATATCTGTACTAATGGAAATACAAGCCGAAACTATGACAAAAATCAATTCAATTGCTAGAAACGTGCACAGTAAAATGGGATCATCCGATTTAAAACGTATATGTAACGTTATAGAACATTTTAATAATTATAAAACGCATAAAAATATTATAAAATATTTAACATCTATTGGCTTTATGTATCAAGGGAAAAAATTATATTAAATTATTTTACATCATATTTTTGTTTTGTAATGACGGCTCACTATAGGTATATGAGATACTATTTTTATTATATATTTTTTACATCATAATATTTATATTATAAATATGTATAATAAACCGTTTGTAATAAATTTGACAACGTTGCACCCAATTCCTATTGTATTCCTATGAACAATAAAGTGTGCGGAATCGTGTTCAAAAAAAAAAAAAACGTGCGGAATCGTATTCCTCCCGATTAAAAGTATGCAGGTAGAATCAATTAAAATAATAATTGAATTAAATGGTATCAAATGGTCCCGAATATTATATTTAACTCATTGTTGATTAGTACTTAAAATAAAAAGTAGCACTTACCAGCAATAATTGTTCTTGTCTCATCATCCAACCGAATTCGACCAATTTCTAGTTCATGCCCACAGTGAGTTTTCCAAAATGATGTGGACACTTTTCCATCAAATTTGGAAATAGTAACTTTTAGCAATGATGGACAGGCTCGTTCAATTTTATTACTACCCATAGATTTGATTTCTCTAACATTGTTACCTTGTTTTCGGTAACTGTAAGAGCGATGGCAATAGTAAAATTGCCTTGTATTTCCATCACTTAATTCTGATGCAGCTCTATCAAGTATGTACATTGTTGATGTCCGTTGTTCCATTTCTCGTTTCCAAGAATCAAATTCTGTAATTAAAAACTATGATGAATAATGATGTAGGAATACTGGTAAATACTAAATAATAACCAATTTTTACCTGAGATATCACAAAAATTAATATTTTCCAATTTCACATCAAAGCCATGCACATCGCACAAATGCTGTCTTTGTTTAACAAATGTTAATAATTCGACTACACACTTGTCATAGGGGCAAATTATTCTTGTTTGATTTTTTTTGGTTTTGTTCGTATCAATTTCATCATGGAACTTTTTTACATGCACACTCAATGTTTTAGGGGTTGAAAAACCTTTATGACATACTTCACATTGCAAATCTTTCACTGGTACTACATCTGTGTCGTGAAATTTCCGACAATGCACGTACAGCGATTTACGCTGAGCAAAGATCTTATCACAATATAAACACTTAATGGGAGTGTCCATGTTTTATAATGCGACAATAAGTCAATAAATACCGGTTGACAATTTACAAAAATGACTATCAAAGTACCAAGTACAAACTAATAACTAACAAGCGTCAAGTATCAATGACTGGCTGGTAATGACAAAAATTAAAAAAAACCGGGAATTATCATTTATTTGTTATCGCTTATCACTACGATGATCACAGAAGTCAAATTGTGGAACAAATCACTAGGGGCGCTGCGCGCGTGATAAGGATGCCAAAAATCTGCTGCTGGGAAGCTCTCGTACGTGTCTCGTCTGAACGTACTGATTGAAATATATTTGTTATCTGTGGCCGAGACACAGACACTGTGTCCGGCGACTAGAGGGGACGCGACACGCCGATTCAGTGGCGGGACACGAAGTCTGTGTCCGTGTCTCGTGTGAACGTTTCTATTTATAACAGCATATTTATAGCCGCTCGATTCTTTTGAGACACTCGTGTAGTCGTGTCCAGCCACAAAGTGTCTCGTCTGAAAGCGCTCGTATTGTTATTGGTCGTCATGGAAGAAACGCGGAGTGCCGTTAGCGCCCCGCGCGGATCTTATACGCGTTATTAGCGTTTTATTATATAAAAAATATATATATAAAAGCATATTTTAATTTTCGCTATTATTGTTTTAAAACCGTTCGCGATTTTTATTTTCGCTGTTTTTTTTCGTGATTTTAACTGGCACCCCATCTCCCCCCCGTGGGTCCACCCATATCTGGCATCAGTCTCTTGAATGACGTTGACTACCACAGTCCTTTAGCTGCCGCTCTTTGAACATGCTCTCTGAACAACAGTTTCTCGTCGATTGTTAGTCCGAGGTACTTAATCGTCTTGGTTGTGTGTATGTCCGTGCCGTTCAGTCGAAAAGAAGACTTCCTTCTTTAGTGCTACCTTTAGATGAATATAGCTTCGGACTTCTCCGTAGCTCGTGAGAGTCCGAGTTTTCGTATTTCTTCGGTGACCACTTCAAGCGCATCATTTATGCGCGTTTCCACATCTTTCGTTGTTATTCCCCATGCCATGACAAGCGTATCGTCAGCAAAACCTATAATCTTTGTCGATTCTGACTGAGCACTGATCTCTTAGGACTCTATCATTCGTTACGTTCCACAACGTTGGGCCGACTACTGAACCATGGAGCACGCCGCAGATGATGTTCACGTTTAGCTGACCGGTGACGGAGTGGGAGTGTGCCATCATTGCTGATCTCTTTTTGAAGTATAATTGAAATATTTGCTGCATATATTCTGGGACTTCACAGCTCTGCAGCTCTGGCTTTATGTGTTCCCAGCCAATAGAGTTCAATGCGTTTCTAATGTCTAAGCTAACGGCGACGCAGAGTTCGTATTTTTCTAGTGCCGCGTTTGCCGTCGCTACCAATGTGCTGACTGCATCCTCCATTGAGTGTTCTTTCGGGAAACCATATTGTTCTTCAGCTAGGCCTTGTATCTTTCTCAAATGCAGTTCGAGCCTCTGCACTAGGAGAATCTCATACAGTTTTCCTACATCATTCAGCAGGTCTCAATGCCTGTACGATGACGGCTCATTTGCTGGTTTCTGCCTCTCGGGGAGTAGCAAGAAATTTTCTATTTTGTGGGAAAGTCGCAATCTCGCATGCATTTGTTGAACATTTCCCTAAAGTGGGTAGGTTCTACCCCATGGGCTACTGAGAGTATATAGTAGGTAAATCCGTCCGGGCCAGGTGCTTTTCTCCTAGGAGAAATTCGATTGAACGTTTCGCTGAACTCGTTGTGCGTGAAGAAAGGAATAGGGATAGCGCTGCTGTTATGGTCTCTCTAGTTGGGTGGTTCCCTGGTTGGAAAGAGCGTTGACACGATCTCTTTTAGCATCATGGGATCTATGTACACCGTTGGTGGTGGGCCTTGTAATTTTCTCAATACCAGCTTATATGGTTTACCCCATGCACCGTTATTCACTGTTTCAAATAACTATTTCCACAAGCGTTCTTTGCTCTTCACTATCTCTGTCTTAAGGGCCGTTTTGGAGGATCTAAGGTTCTCCAGCAGGTGTTATATCATTACTGCTTTGCGACCGTCCCTGTTCGGTCCCGCCCCAGCTCTTTTTAATGTTCTCCTTGCTCCTTGCTCAGAAAAACCCAAAGTTATTCAACTTAAAAATATCAAATAATGTCACTAATTTTTTCTTATGTTCCAAAATGTTTTTAATAGCATCATATTTTGAGTTCCACTTTGTCACAACAGGAATAGGAAATTTACAGTTGCAATGCTCTACTACTTTATCAGATGTCAGATGCCATGATACTCCTACTTAATAAGTTCCAGAACGCTTGTAGTTTGTTAGAAGTTTTTATAGATAAACTGATAAAGGTTTCATCTGAAATTTTGGAAATGTCTGTAGTAGCAATTAAGTTCAACGAATGAGCTACACAAGTTTTATGTCTAGGTAAACAATAACTATTATCATGTCTTGCTCATCGATTTCTTGATTGTAAAAAACTAAACCAACATCAATTCTTTCGAGGGAAAGCAGGTCGGTATCGACGTGAAATAGTAAACAATTATTATAATTATTTTAGCAAAAAAAATTAATTTTATCTGATTATCTATTATTAGTATTTAATATTAATGGTGATACATTAGTTATTGGTGAAAAATAACTAATAACTAGGGCTAAGATTTATATGTAATAAAAAACCAAAAATATGTACATATATATGTAATTAAAATTGCCAAAATATGTAATATAAAATAAAAATGATGTACTAAGAAAAATTTTAAAAATACCTATGTTAAAATTTTAAATAAAAATACAATTCCAAATAATTTTTGATCATAATTGAAATACAATAAATTGATGTTTAATCAATTGTAAGGGAAATAATGACAAACCATATATTGTTTTAAATTTTCAAAATAAAATGTCATCCGCAATACCACAAAGAATGTTTCTTATACATTTAATGTTCTTCAGTCCCGAATTTTTGTTTAAAGCGACGTTCATTTCATTCTTTAATAATTCTGCTGTTGGGCCCTCTGATTCATTAATTTTTGAAATTGATAAATCAATAATTTGTATGCTTTCACTCAACGGAATCTTGGTGTTTTCTAATTTTGAAATTGATTCACCCAAAAAACTAGAATTAGACACAATATATGATAGAGCAGACTTTATATTAGGTCTCTCAAAAATTTCTTTTCCCTTGGAAATTGATGCTGCTAAATGTAAAATATTATTAAACCACTGAAATTGTCAAAATTTACGAAGTATGTAAATAAAAACGAAAATTTTACTAAGTATGTAAAAATATGTATTTATGACGAAATATTTAAAAATATGTAAAATAAAATATGTCTTTTATTGCAAATCACGTGAAACGAATTTATCATTTTCAATAATTAATTTATCATGTTTCACTAAAAATATGTATTTACATACAAATCCCACCTCTACTAATAACTAATCGAATTTTCACAAATTGCTTGCTAAGATGGTTGAGTTGCACTTATAGCCACTATCGGCTTATCCACAGTCAAAATAAAAATAAAGAATATTATTCATATAGAGTATTTACCTAGCGCGGGGTACGATAATAATAATAAAATATCTATATCTATGTACATATATATATATTATACATATATACTATATAAAATGAAGTCGCTTTTTTTTTGTTCGGGCTAAAATCCGAAACTACTTATTGTCTTATTGGATGGTCGTGCAGTTTTTTTAAATTAAAGAGGACATCACAGAAAAGGTTTAGGGCATACATTTAGTCCGATGAAGTTAATAAGTAATTAGTCATTATTAATTAAAATAAATTTGTAAATTGTATACCTATATTATGTACTAGACTAAGAGCTCACAACACGAATTCAACGTCATTTTCATTAAAAGTTTTGATATTCTTATTTATTTCACTAAGCATTTCTATATTTGAATCTTGAAGTCTGGTGGTGTTATGTTGGTGCGTTAGGGTGCAGTGCTTAATTACACCCCACTTAAATTGCACTCAATTTACGTTATGACCATTAGATTTGTGATTTAAACCAAATGATAATACATTTTATCAACATAAATTATTTGCATAGACAGACCAAAATAGTTGGTGCTATCGTGAAACCAGACCAAGTTAAATTTAAAAAAAAGTGCTCGTAACTTACGTCATTTTTATTAAGATCAAACCCGGAACTAAAATAAAGTAATTAACGTGTAGATCAAGAATATAAAACGACAGACTGAATATTTTGGTGTTTTATACTTACCAGAACGCATTAAAATATTATTTAAACATTAGGTAGGTATATGTATAAATATAAAATAACATATTTTAATACATATTAACTAAAAATTATATTTTGTATTCGAATATATAAAAGAAAGTGTTAAAAATTATTTTAATTTACATCATTAATCCTTGTGTTTTTAGATGTGATTTTGTTGCCAATTATTAATCAGATTCGTCACCACTAGTATCACTTGCTTCATTTTCTGAAAAAAAAATTATGAATTTTGTAAAATTAACTAGGTATAGTTTTTTTTTATTATGGTGATCTGAATGTATTGTACTCACCGTTATCACTAATGTTTTCTTCTTCGAAACTATTTCTTATAACGACATCTTCAACAAATGCTGGGTATTGCGGTCCCTTGAACCACAGTGGAATGTACGAATTGTCTTCTTCAATCCAACCATTATCCACAGGGATGAAGGTAGTTGGAGTTTTAGAAATAGCATTTCTCCATATACTGCATATATAATTAACTCGAAGAATTTGTTGTTGTAATTCTTGGTGGCATGGTGGAATATTTGACGAATCACAATTTTTTAATTTAGCTTTAAATGTTTCTTTGTCTTTTTTAGGTTTATATGCGTTACAAAATATTTCAAACCTTGCTTCATTAACAGTGACTACATTTTTTATTCCATATATTTGACATACAAATTTTTCTACTTCAGAAAATGTTTCTGAGGATATTTTTTCTGATTTTCCTAAATCACTTAATGACTTTTGAAAACTTGAATTTTTTTCTAATATTTTGAATGGTTTCTGCTTTCCTTTTCTATAAAATGCTGGAGTAAAATCACAGCCTGTCAATGCATGAAAAGCTAATAGTGATGCAGAAAGTTCAATACCAAGACTTAAGAACAATTTTGAAACATCAATGTAACGCAAATTATTTGTTGAAATGAGACCCACTTCAAGCCAAACATTGACAGAGTTGATAAATTTATACATGTTACCCAAGATAATTATTAAAACATCCGTATCATTACACCTTATTACTACTTGTTTTTTTTCGGTTCTTTTGATATATGATATAAATGATAAATAATTTTCGTGTCTGCTTCTTCGTGGTTACATGATAATAATTCATTTATGCTTCTTAAGACATTACCATTATGCACTATGAATGTATAGTTACAGCTTTTATGGCTTAAATTTATTATTTTATTTCCAATGAAAACAGGTAATTGAATCCAATGTTCAATTAAAAAATCGACAAATGCTTCTTTAAAATGGCCATTTCTCAACTCTTTTATAAAATCAGCAGGTCTAGTTTGATCGGGTCCAGATATAACATATTTGGAATTGTTTTGAATAGATGGAGATCTTTTTTTGTGTTCACTATCTTTAATCGAAGGGGAAAAATATTGATCGAAAACAATATCTATTCTATTGGCTTTATATCGTGTAATATTTTTTAAAAACATCGTAGAAATACTACCAAAAGTTTTTGGAAACTCTCTCATTAGATGTAGTAAAAAAAATCCGTCTATTATGACTACATCTGGGTATTCAGGTGGTACATTTGGTTGACTAATTTTTTGTTCTAAAATTTTCATTAATGCTGACTTATCAGTTTTGTACATGGTTCCATCTAAATGACACATAGAGGTCGGAATAGGTGTCAATGGATATTTTAAAGTTTCTAATACGTCTATTTGTTTTTCTAGTGAAATTCCAAGCATTCTTCCAAACAAATTCCTTTGCATTCTTATTTCCTGTACTTTCCCAACAGTAGTGCTAATTTTTTTTTTAATGTTTTCTTGTGAAAAATTTAGTATTTTTTGTTTTTCTATTGGTTTTTCAAATCGACTTGAATCAATTGCACAATTTGAAATAAATTTTTCACGCAACTCATTACCTTTAATTTGAACATTGAGTAAAAAATTAGTAGTTTCTGTGGAAGCTCCTTTTCCAGTTAAAATGTTAAACAAAACATTCGGGTCAATAGTTTGATCAAAAGGGTTAATATAGTTTTTAATGATCACAACAAATTTTTGAACAGCTGAAGATGCCTTTTCTATTTTACTTTTTTCTAATTCATTGGATATATCTTGTCTACTTTTTAAGCCAATATTTTCCAATACATGGGAAATAATTGTTGATCTTAAACTATGACTTTTAGCCCAACGCTGACGGGCCGATATCGAATTGGTAAAATGAATAACTCCCGTAAGTCTCTTAGATGCGTCTGCATTAATTGTTTGTTCTAATGTGAGATCTATTGGTTGTCGTGAAAAGCTTTTTGAAGTTCGTTTTATTCCAAAAGAACCACTTTCAAAATCAATTTTCAAATCGGGATGAGTTTCATCTAGCTTTAAAATATTATCATGATATTTGACCATCCATCGAGCATAATTGGGCTGGTTAAAGATAAAAAATAAATTTGTCATTTTCGGCAATATATAACAGAATAATTTAAAATCTCCTACTCGTATACTTTTAGACAGTAACAAATAGAAGTCAACCAGTTGTATAAAATTCATATAATATTGAGCAGTTTTACCATGTAATCCAGACAGAGAATCCTCTTGGAATTTTGAGTATAAATTAATAAGTTTTTTTTAATTTTCATTTTCAGTAAGATCTAAATTATAATTCGTACTTTTTGTCAACAATGCCTCTAGTTCCAATAATATGTCTTCGGAAACGTCAATACATTCTTTTTCAAGAAATAATTCAAAATGCAATATTTGCAAACCAAGTGCAATAACTGGATAAAGTCGTTTACATCGATTAAAATGTTTTCCTGTTATAAAACCGTTGACTGACCCACTTGCTAATAGTTCACTTTCAACCATTATATATGTTATACCACACTCATCGATAAATTTTCCAATTGTTTTAAAATAGGACATCATAATATGGAAAGCTCCTAAATTAATAAATAGGTTATCAAATTTAGGTTGCTCTGTCGTTTGAATTTGTAATGCGACTTTGGCTATAGCTAAGTCATATGTAACTGACATAAAATTTTGATTGCATTCATTGGCAATCTTTTGCGCTTGTACCATTGTTTCGTAAATTACTGTAGTATTTGTAGGAGACATATTAATTGGAGTTAAATAGAATATTTTTTGTTTACTACCATGGTTAGTCGTTGTTAAACTATTATATCCAGTCCACATGGGAGTATTTTTAATTTTTAAAGCATGTGACAAAACCCACAACAAATCTCGTTCTTTACATATTTTAAGCGTATTTGGTACTATTTGTCGTAATTCATTATCATTATTCACCAATGTCCCAATCATTTTTGGTTTTTTCCTATAAGGTGTTACTTCTGGTGTTATAGCCTCAAACGTTCTTCTTTTTTTTTTATTTTTTTTTTCTATATTCATACTATTTATATCAGTTATTATATCGGATGTATTTTGAATAGATGGCAACGGTAATTGTTGAAAAATTGTTTCATAAGAATTTTCTTCGGGCTCATTTTGATAAAGAATCCCTACTGTGTCATGGAGTGTATTTTTCCCATTCGATGTTTCAACAAATCTATCAAAGTTATCAAATGCAACACCAGTGGATAATTTTGGGGAAAGTAATACACCTGGCGGGCATAGTCCTAACTGATTTATTGATGAGTATGTGAGTTCGGTTTCTAGTTCCTCAATAACATTATAACTGGTACATTGATTGTATCTATTAAGAATATCAATTACTTTTCTACTACTTGTTAAACTTTTTAAGGTTATTCCAAGTGTTATTTGCTTTGACGGTTTAACTCGTCCATTAGTCACAGCATATACTTGCCAGTGATTCAACTTTACGGCGAGTTTCATCACTGTTTCTACGTCTTATATCAGGGCCTCCCACCAAATGTGTTATAAAATTAATTAATTTATCAGGTAACGAACATTCTCCTTTAATTAAATCTTCAGTGCTCACATTTTCTGGCAGATTTTCCTTTTTAATGTTTAAAATTTCCCGGCGTAATATTTGAGCGACATTCAATAATTCAGAATTATTTTTTAAATCACTTAATGACACGTTGGATAATGGAACGTCGATATGAAGTATAATTTTTTTATTATTTAATACTTCAAACTTAACTTTATTTTCAAATGTTCTTTTTAATTTATCTTCGAGGTGTTGTGAAGTATAAGATGAGTCTACAAACAAGCCATCACTGATTTCACATAATAAGTTTAAATATTCGTTATGTAAAACATTTAATAAAATAATTTTTTTAAATTTTATTATGGATTGTTCAATTACATCACAAATAGACAAATACGCAATATTATGGAAATTACGGTTTATATGCCAAGGGGATTTTTGGAAATTAAGATGGTCTGCATTTTTTAGAGTCATGAAATTGATTGTATTTATTTTGGTAAGCTACTCGACAAATATTATGATATTTAACTTCTTTGGCTACAAAATCTATGTTAGAAAGTTTTGTTTGCATACTGACATCGTTCATTTCATTCATATAATGTTTTATACTTAATTCAAAATTTTTAGTTTCACACACATGTAAGCTTTGAGCCTTTCCATTATGTTTTTTACGGGTTTTTTCACAAAATATACATACAGATTTAAAAATAGACGCATTACCTTCAATTAATTTTGTTGATTGATTTGATCGAGTATTTATTTCACATACAGGGCTCGATGATGTTGAAGCATTAGGTAATTGATTTTGTAATATTGAGGGCAATGCAGTAAATTTTCTGTAACATTTTATATGATAGCCATCATGCGAATTAAAAACTTCCGGTACAAAAATGTCACAATATTTAAAACTATTTTTTTGTCGGATTTTCAATGAAGAATTAAATTTTTCTTTTGAATTATCGTTAAACAAAACCACTTTCTCCACTTCTTCACCATTTGAACAAATTAAACACGTTTTTTGTATTGACATTATAAATTTAGTTTAAACGCACAGCACACAGTGATAAATATTACACGCTGCACTGCTGCACAACAGTAGGTACTGCACAACTGAAATATTGTCGTCAATCAATGAACCCATTTGTTTTGATAAGCACGGAACGTTTGGTTATATAAATATTATCGAACTAATATGGTACTATTAATACCTTGAAATTACATGTTTACAAATATTTACAGAGATAAACTAATTGTCATTCCCGAATTCCAAATACATACTAATATAGTTATCGTTTATTTGTTTGACGAAGTTGAGAGTAATAATAATATAATACCAATAACATTGTACCTATGATTATATTATAGGTATTTTAATGCGTTCTGGTAAGTATAAAACACCAAAATATTCAGTCTGTCGTTTTATATTCTTGATCTACACGTTAATTACTTTATTTTAGTTCCGGGTTTGATCTTAATAAAAATGACGTAAGTTACGAGCACTTTTTTTTAAATTTAACTTGGTCTGGTTTCACGATAGCACCAACTATTTTGGTCTGTCTATGCAAATAATTTATGTTGATAAAATGTATTATCATTTGGTTTAAATCACAAATCTAATGGTCATAACGTAATTTGAGTGCAATTTAAGTGGGGTGTAATTAAGCACTGCACCCTTACGCACCAACATAACACCACCAGACTTCAAGATTCAAATATAGAAATGCTTAGTGAAATAAATAAGAATATCAAAACTTTTAATGAAAATGACGTTGAATTCGTGTTGTGAGCTCTTCGTCTATACGTACATTTTATGCGGCAGGTATTGTGCTCTCGTGTTGTCTGGCGACGATTTTGATTGTTATTTATTAATTGTTGATTGTTGTTTGGTTTAATCATTTGAAGGCCAGAAGGCGTAATTGATTGTACATTTGATTAAAGGTTATTACTAACGTATTACTCTCATTTTCGAAAATGCCAAGACGAAAGTAAAGCTAACTTTAAAGTACAGGGTCAGGTTTACCACGTTGCCGGCAGTCTTTTTCATATCGTAAGCGATATAATTTTTTTAAACATTATAAAGAATTCTCGATGGTGACGTTAAATATTCATATGGCTACCTTTACGTGACTAAAAGTGGTTTAAAATAAAAATAATTATATAACATCCAGAAAATAAATATTAAATTAATATCTGAGAAATTTCGCAATAGCGAAGCATTTGTTACTAAGGCCACTAATCACTATTCAGTATTCACTATGAATAATCTGAGGAGAAAAGCATTCAAGCAAGAACAAAGATAATCAAAAACTATTTTACAGTTTAAAAAAAAAAATGTTCCTGAATCATTAGATGTAAGTATTTTATAACATAATGTTCTGTCATAGTTTAAAATATTTAATTACTTTATATTTTTAGTCCACACCTGTATCAACAGTAAATGTGGATGAATAGAAAACAGCAAAGTCACCAAATGAAATTGGTTTATTTGTTAATTGTTCTCAAAGGGTAGTATTTAAGTAGTTAAATATTAAATTCTTGCACAATATTATTTGATTTATTTAAATTAATATGCAATTTTGAATACAATGATAATAATGAACTACTAGGTACTGAATACTACCTATATTATATATTATACAAAATTAGGGTATAGTTTTGTTTATTTATGTACTATATAGTTGCATTTAGAAATGTAGAATAATTACACTTAATATTTATACATTTTAAATATTTAATTATTAATAAGTTTGTTTATTATTTTAGATTGAATCCATAAAATGAATTGAAATACTACAATCATTGTGGATTCCTGAACAAAATTATAAATATCCAACAAACAATAAAAGAAGTTTAAAATTCCAACACAATATTGGCTCTTTACAAATGGTCTTGGATTGCATACTCAAAAATGTTTGATGGCGCATTATGTAAATATTGTGTAATTTTTAATGAACAATGAACATGAAGGTGGTTAAGGTAGCCAAAAGTTGGGAAAATTTGTTTTAACACCGTTTTCTAATTGGAAAAATACAATAGAAGAATTTAATAAACACGATAACAATAAATACCATAAAATGAGTAATGACATTATTCAATTTTGATTGTTTAATGTCAGTGTCTAATAAAACTACTGATTCTATTGAAATACAGCTGGATAAAAAATTGAAATTTGAGATAGAACACTATCGTGCCAAATTAAAACCAATTATTGAAACTGTTATGTTTTGTTGCCGTCAAGGTCTACCTTGAGTGGTCATCGAGACTCGGGTCCAATCAACTGTGACAATCCTCCTGTTGAAAATGATGGAAGTTTTAGATCACTCTTGCGATTTAAAGTTATGTCTGGTGATATAAATATAGCTGAACGTTTAAAAACTGCTCAGGGAAATGCAAGTTATAGAAGTGGTGATATTCAAAACCAAATTTTAACTTCTTGTTCAAATGTAATATTAAAACAAATTATTTCAAAATTTATTGCTGCTAAATGTTTTACTGTATTAGCAGATGAAACTACCAATATATCGAGAATTGAGCAATTTTCTCTGTGTGTACGTTATTTTGAATTTTCTTCAATGAAAATGAGAGAAGATTTCTTAATGTTTGTTTCTGTTACTGATGTAACATGCATGGGCTTAGCAAACACACTCTTAAATACCCTTGATAAACTTGGTATTAATTTGAAATACTTAAGAGGCCAAGGTTTTGATGGTGCAGCTACCATGAGTGGATGCTCTAACGGTGTACCATCCCACGTTACCAAAAAATATCCACTTGCTCACTACATTCATTGCAACTCACATTGTTTAAATCTAGCAATATCCGACACATGTAACATTCAATCTATACGAAACTGTACTATTACCATACAAAAAGTATATGTGTTTTTTAAATACCCTAAACGATAAAACGTAATGTTAGATCCAATAATATATGTATGTGATGAATCACAGATTACTAAACTAAAATTACTTTGTCCAACAAGATGGGTCGATCGGCATGACTCCATAATTACTTTTATGGAATTATTTGATGCAGTTGTTGATGGATTATCGATTATTTCTACATGGCAAGACCGAGAATCGTCATTAGGAGCTTATCAACTTTTGTGTGCTGTTCATTGACATGTATTTGATACAGAAAGGTAATTAGTAATTCCATATGTAACTAGAGATTGTATTAGATCAATAGAGCCTTGTATACCACATATTTCAGTTTACTACTGTTCAAAATATTTTTAAGATTTTTAAATACACAAACAATTTTAATTGAATTAAGCGATAACTTATTAATATGTACATTCCATTTTAGACAATCATCAATATGCACACCTAAATATAACTGTATTTGTCTTAAAAATAGTTAGGAAAATACTTCTCAAGTTTTTATCATCATGTTTACAAAATTCAATACGTAAAATATTTTTTTAATTTTTGAATAGATATTATTTTTAACTTTTAATTGCAAAAATGTCCTTAAATCATTGACACTATATACAGGTATATTAATATATATGTATTATATTTGAACACAAATGGACAGTTTCAGTCCCGCTGATTAAGAAAATGAAATTGTCACAACTATTTTGATATAACTTACCTGTCCAGTAAAATTTTTACTAAGCAAATTAAGAATTTATCATGTATGCTATAAAAAAATAATTCTCTGATTAGGTTCTCAAAATTAAAAATTAAAAGCAAAACTTGTATCATATATAAATGTTTGGAAATTGTTTTAATTTATAATAAGTAATGACTAAATTTAATTATTCAATTTATCTGTGGTTTTGATAATTTAGTAGTTGTCTCTGTAATTCTGCATGCGTTATAGATGTTACCATCGATTTCTTTGCATTTTGTCGAGCCTTTTTAACTTTCGAAATCAATTACTTATGTCTGCGCAAAAAATTTCATATCACAAATATTTATTTCTGTTTGGCATAGGTACTAATTGCATTTATAATTAAAATAATACATAATTGTACATTGAATACTTAATAAACTTCATTATTAGGTAGTTACTTTTATGTGACTTAAGAAGCTTTTGTTTTTGAATGATTTTGGAACAATTTTTACATTGTGCAGTCAATTGTGATAAATCCTTTTTAACAACAGTAAACAATATTGTCCATCTAATAAGTATGATTTATTAATCAAAGGTTCTTCAGATAACTTCTGTAGGTGTTGACATCTTGTTCTTGAATAATATATTATTTTGATCAGGATCGTCTTCGTCTTCCTCTCGAAAACATTTTTATATCATTAGTTATCATCAGTTCTTATCTGGATTTCACCAGAGCTAGTCGTCTTTAGTTTTGTAACGTTAGTGCTCCGTTATCTCTGTTTAGTTATCTTATAATTCGGTTTTTACGTTTCACTTACAATGCATTTTACGTGTGCTAAATGTCTCGAGACATCAACTCATAAGGATGATTTACTCGAGTGTTCTACTTGCAAAAAAGTTCTTCACTTTTATTGTACTGGCTATTCTGAGCAAAATTATAAAAAAATGTCTAACAATACTAAAGCAAGATTTACCTGTTCTGAATGCCAGACTACTAAATCGCCAAAATCACAAACATCTGGTGTTGAATTAAGTTTAATAAGTTCAATGGAAAAAAATATTGAGGAGTTAACTAAATCCGTATCTTTTATGAGTTCAAAATTCGATGATTTTAGTAATAAAATTGATTATTTAGTTAGTGAATTAAAAAATATTAAGATTGTCAATGAGAAAATTATCACGGAAAATAAACGATTATCTGATGAAGTTGCGGTTTTGAAATATAAAGTAGATGAAATTGAACAGCATAATTTAGGAATTACTGTGGAAATATCAGGTATTCCTAAAACAACCAATGAAAATTGTGTTTTGATTGTTGAAGAAATTGGGAAAAAAACAAACACGGAGTTGAAGGTACTTGAAGCTAATAGAATTAACTTTTTTAACTATAAGCAAAATATTATACTGGCAAAATTAGATACTCTTGATATGAGAAAAAATTTAATCCGAAATGTAAAATCTATGAAATTAACAACTGATAAAATTTATAATAAATGGCCGGTAGAAAAGGTTTTCGTTAATGAATGTCTTACCAAATCAAAGCGAGCTCTTTTTGCTCAAACAAGATCTGCTGCGAAAGATAAACAATATAAATTCGTCTGGTTATCAAATGCGGATATTCTCGTGAGAAAAGATGAAAAATCCAAAATAACTAAAATTAAATCATCTCAAGACATTCAAAACTTATAATTAGTATGTATGTAAATGTATTTTTAACTAGTATTTAAATTATGAATAATATGTTTAATTTTGATGATTATCTAAATGTTAATAATGTAAATTGCTCCTATATTGATTCTATAGCTGACATTTTAATTCCTAATAATAATCTATCTATTTTTCAATTAAATATCAGTATTATAAATGCTCATATAAATGATCTTACAGCATTGCTTAGTACAGTAAAATATTTTTTTAGTATTATTGTTTTATGTGAAACATGGCTCATTAATGATTTTGATTTTAATTTAAATGGTTATAAAACCATCAACTCTGTAGGAACTTTGAATAAAAGTGATGGTGTTACTATCTTTATTAAAGATTCTCTAAATATAGTACAAATCGATAAACAAGTTTTATTAAATTGTAATTCTATGCAGCTTATAATTAAAGTCGATGACTTAATATTTTCATTAATTTGTATATATAGATCTCCAAATGACGATCTTGATAATTTTATTATTGCTTTAGACTTATTTTTATCTCAAATAAATAATTCATTTTTAAGTATTTTTTGTGGTGATATTAATATAAATATCTTAAAAAATTCAAATAAAAGCAATAATTATTTAAATATTATGGCTAGAAATGGATACCTACCTTGTATTAATAATTTTACGAGAGTTACAAATTTTTCGGGATCTTGCATTGATCATATTTTTATCAAAAACATTAAAATTAATAAAGTTAATTCATATATACTAAGATGTGATATTACTGATCATTATGCGACTATCTTAATGTTATCGGATTTATACACAAATGAAAATATTCCCTCATATACCTTAAAATCTGATATGATAAATACTAGTCATTTAGACTTATTAATTAAAACAGAAAATTGGTATTCATGCTTGGACTATGATAATGTTGATATTATGATCGAAGTTTTTAATTCCAAACTTAATGAATTTATAAATTGTTCTACGTATTCTAATATTAAGTATAAATCTAAAAAAATGTTTAAAATTAAAGAATGGATTACAACTGGTATTATAACCTCTATCAGAAATAGACAAAAATTATACGCTAAATTAAGAACTAGGCCTTTTGACTCAAATTTTAGACAATATTACATTTCTTATCGAAATACGTTAAATTTATTAATCAGAAAGTCTAAACAACTATATTATCAAAATAAACTACATCGCGCACAATCAAATACGAAACAGGTTTGGAACATTATTAACGAGGTCACAGGTAAACCATATCAAAATACGAGTAAAATTAATAGGATAATCAATAAAGATGGTATTGTTATTGAATCTAAAGTTGATATTTGCAATGAACTTAATAGTTTTTTTGTAAATGTGGCTTCAAATTTAGGAATTGAACACTATAATAATTCTGATAAATTCTTATTTAATAATAATATTATTGAAGACAGTATTTTTTTGAAACAAATAGACGCTAATGAAATTGAAGCACTCCTTTCAAAAATTAAGAATCATACTTCTTTTTATGAGAACGGTGTGACAAATTATTTACTTAAAAATGTACGTAAATCTATCTCCTTACCGTTAGCAATTATCTTTAATAAATCATTATTAACTGGTAAATATCCTTCAAACTTCAAAAAATGTACAGTTATACCTCTATTTAAATCTGGTGATAAATTATTATGTGGAAATTATCGACCGATCTCTTTATCTCTAACTTTATCCAAAATATTTGAAAAATGTATCAAAGTCAGAATAGTAAACTTCCTAAATACAAAATCTTATTTTTCCAAAAAACAATTTGGTTTCCGAACCGGGATGTCGACAAATGACGCGCTATTTGAGGTTGATAGTTTTATACGGAAAAATATTGATAAAAACTATAAAGTATTAGGTATTTTCCTAGATGTTCATAAAGCTTTTGATTGTGTAAACCATGATATATTACTTGAGAAATTAGATAAGGCTGGTATAAGAGGAGTTGCAAATAACCTTTTTAAATCCTTTTTAAGTGGACGAACCCAAAGAGTTAAAATTGATGATTTTTTTAGTGAATCTTTAGACATTTCTTGTGGGGTTCCTCAAGGTACTGTGTTAGGACCATTATTGTTTATAATTTTTATTAATGATCTTTTGAATATAAAAACAAATATTAATATTGAATTATTTAGTTTTGCTGATGACACTGCCATTTTAGTGTCTAATCCAACAGTAAATAATCTTTATTATGAAGCTAATTATATTTTAAATACCGTTTATGGGTGGTTTTGTAAGAATAAATTAAAATTGAATTTAACAAAATCTAAATTTATTAATTTTGAACTTTTTTCATCCAATAATTGTACAAATAATAATTTAATAGTTCATTCATTAAACTGTATACCTAATTTCACTTCAACCTGTAGTTGTAATTGTATTAATCTTGAAAATGTATTAGAAATTAAGTATCTGGGATTAATTCTTGATTATATGCTAAAATGGGATAGGCATATAAATTTTATGAATAACAATTTACGTAAATTCTTCTACATATTCAAAGATACTAGATATATATTTAATAATTATTATAAAAGAATTATTTATTTAACCTTAGTACAATCTTTCTATTCATATGGTTTATCGATTTGGGGAGGAACCTATAATATACATTTATTCAGATTAAAAGTTACTATAAATTGTCTTATTAAATTTTTATTTAATTTACCCGTTCAAACTAGCACTATCATTTTATATGAGTCTCTAAATTTAAAAAACTTCAATTTTATTTATAATTTCTCTGTTTTGATTGATCTTTATAAACACAAACATTTAATATCAATATTTGATCACGAATATAAAACTAGATTTAAACAAAATATTAATAGGTATATGTTTACCAAATTGTACTAAAGTTTTTGGTCAAAAAAGTACATTTTATATTGGTTTACAGTTATGTATTTTATTTAATATTAATATAAATAATTTTAAGGATCTTACTTCTTTTAAAAAATGTATAAAAAAATTAGATTTAGATTATATTTAAATTTATGTTATTGCCTCTTTATTATATTGTTATAATTCTATTTTATGATCTTTATATATTTGTTATAAGTCTTATTAAGTCTCTTTTTACTGTTATTTTATGTAATCTATAAATATATTTATTATAACTGAAATTCTTTTAAGAACTGGCTCTCCCAGCACAAGCTTGCTTTTTGGGAGTGCTGCAACATTGTCAATTTTCATATAATTTATATTTTATTAATTTATATTTTTACGTATACATACCTACCTATATTTATTATTTTGTTTTAATATGTAAAGATGTTATGGTTGCAATAAAGTTATTATTATTATTATTATTATTATTATTAGTTAGATAGCATGTAGTTAGAGAATACTTCATATATTTCACATTTAGTAGAGCTATGTCTCGATAATTATTACAGGCCTTGAATACTTCCTTTCTTATGGATTGGGCATATCATAGCTGTTTTTCCATTCCTCTGGTATTTTTTTAGATTTCTAGATCTGGCATATCAGTTCTATAGCTTAATCAGCAGTTCCTCTCCACCATGTCTTGAATTTCACCTGTTGACTTGTGATTCTTAAGCCAATTTTCCTGAAGTTTTATCTCTTCCAATGCTGGTTCTGGGAAATCTTGTTTATTCCAAGTTTCTAGGTCAAAACCGAAGACTTCGTCCGGTTCGTCACAATTTAATAGCAAATCAAAGTACTCACTCCATCTCCTCGATGAGGACCGAAGTTTTTAGCCACACGTCATCATTTTTTTAAAATCTTTCTTTCTTTTTATTCCTTCCTGCAAGGTGATTAATCCGTTTGTACATGTCTCTGGTCTTATGCGATTTATAGTCGATCTCTTCTTTTTCCATCATATCCAGGAGGTATTTCCTTTTCTCACACCTCAGTATGTTGCTCACTTCTTTTTGACGAGTTTTGTACCAGCCAAATAAAGTTTCATTATTTGTGTCATTTAGAGCAGTGTTTCCCAAACTTTTTGCAATGGCAACCCATACATCTAATCTCTATTGGGTACCAGACCCCCTGCTAAAAAAAATCAAGTATGTCATAAATAAATAATATTTGTACTATAATCAATTTTTTCATTCTTACCGATAAGATAACAAATATTCCATAGTCGTAATAAAATAATATAAAGATTACTAAAAATATATTGATGCCCAATGTAAAATCGATGCCATGCATTCTATAATGCTAGTTGGACTTCACATAATTATTATACAATATAGAAATATCAATTTAAAAAATTTGGAAACCCAGGGTTTTGGGAAACGCTGATGTAGCCAATTCCTTCTTGCCATTCTTCTTCTCTCGATAGCTTCTTCACGGATTCTGTAAAACCAAGGTTTGGTTTTTAAAGTTTTCTTTCCTAATATCGTTGTCGCTACACTATTAACGGCTCTTCTTATTTGCTCCCAGCTCCTATCCACATCTTCGTCGGCTACTACTTCCCCTCCTTGTAAAATGACCTTAATTTTGTTACTAAATTAATTGTTTGTTGATTGGTCTTCCGGTTTGTCAATATCAAACCGTCCTGTATTTACCACAAGTCGTTTATTAAGTTTTTTAAATGTTACTCTCATCTAAATACCAACAACTAGGTGGCCGAATCCAAATCAGCTCCTTCGTAAAGTCTTTATACTCCGAACTCCGTTCTTGAGTCTGCTATTAAGTAGTAGGTACATAGTTTATCTGGTTTTCAGAGACGCCCAGAAGGGGGGGGCAATGGGAGCCATTGCCCCCACTGAGATTTTTTGTGTCAGTTACAAAATTAGAAGTTTTTTTACATAAAGCTGATCTTAGGTATTTAGAGACTATGCGACAATCCTTGTATCTAACAAGTCATATAAAAGCAGCTTGTCGTCGACGAAAATAGAAACCTTTTGACAGACATTATTATTATTACATTTATCGTATTCTGGGTAACGGTCCGGTCAGTTATGCCTGCACAGGCCGCCGGAGACCGGTCGGCCGGACTGACATCAGCGCTCCCATACGTTCCGGTAAATCTGTCCGGCCACGACAAGTTTTTTATTGTAGAGACATGGATACCAACGAAGACGCGCTTGCTATTTTAGGGCTGTTGATTGCCATGAAAAATATTAAAATTAAAAAACGTTAACGTAGACTGTGGTGTAAAAATTGGTTATAAAAAAGAAACGAATATTTTCACATTAATCTGTTGACCGAATTCAAGTTGTTTCCGAAAGACTGGCATAATTACTTGCGAATGGACGAAGAAACGTACTTCCAACTTCTTTCATTAGTGACACCATTCATTAAAAAAAAGATACAGTTATGAGGAAATCAATCTCCCCACATGAAAGGTTAGTGTGGGGATCCCAAATAAGGGCACCATATTCAATAATTTGGCGGACTAACGAACAGTTTAGAACTTTCAACGACGAAGTTAGGTTAAGGTCTTTTGACAACCTCATTATTATACCCAACATTCTCAGAGCTTTGCAACAAGCCATTTCTATGTGAAGGTCCGGGTCAAGGTTACTGGAGAGTTTGAACCCAAGATCCATCGTAAATCCATCACAGCGAGAAATTATTGAATCCTGAATATGGTAGGAGAACTTTAACGGAGAGCGGGTTCTAGTAAACGTCATGACTTTACATTTACCTAGATTCAGTGATAACCCTAATTTAACAAAAAGAGCAACAAATCTACCTAAATCACTTTTTAGTTTAAGACTGTCTTCAATCCAGTTTATTTGCTTAAAAAGCTTGATACCGTCCGCGAAACATATCACTTGACAATGATTTAGTGTTTTACTAAGGCTGTTGATGAAGATACCTTGGGGAACACCAGAGGGGGCAAAGAGCACATTATATTTAACGTTGGGTAGTTTAACCCATTGATATCTGTTAACTAGGTAGGATTTAAGCCAAGACGAAAGCGGCTCACCAGTGCCAAAATCCTTTAAGATTTTCACTAAGACAGCATGGTTCACGGTATCAAAGGCCTTATTAAAATCCGTGTAAATAACGTCCACCTGTGAATGATGTTGGAAAGCGTTGAAAACATAATTATGAAAAATTAGGCTGTTANTTCTAGTAAACGTCATGACTTTACATTTACCTAGATTCAGTGACAAACCTAATTTAACAAAAAGAGCAACAAATCTACCTAAATCACTTTTTAGTTAAAGACTGTCTTCAATGCAGTTTATTTGCATAAAAAGCTTGATGTCGTCCGTGAAACATAAAACTTGACAATGATCTCAGACTGTTGATGAAGATAGAAAAAAGCAAAGGGGACAGATGTCCACCTTGGGGAACACCAGAGGGGGCAAAGAGCACGTTCGATTAAACGTTGGGTAGCTTAACCCATTGATATCTGTTAACTAGGTAGGATTTAAGCCAAGACAAAAGCGGCTCACCAGTGCCACAATCTTTTAGGATTTTCACTAAGACAGCATGGTTCACGGTATCAAAGGCTTTATTAAAATCCGTGTAAACAACGTCTACCTGTGAATGATGTTGGAAAGCGTTGAAAACATAATTATGAAAAATTAGGCTGTTAGTGATAGTAGAACAACCAGGACGGAAACCATGTTGCTCTTCCATAATAATATTATTGAAAGATTTAGATCTAAGAATATCCTTTTGGGCCAATGACTCAAACATTTTGACAATATGCGATAAAATTGAGAAGGGTCTATAGTTGGAGACATCGGTTGGGCATCCGGACTTCAAAATTGGTGTAATTGATCCCAGTTTAACAATGTGTGGAAAGATGCCTTCAACAAGTGATCGCCTAAGAAGGATCCACAGGGGATAAGATATAACGGATTTTAGCTTGAAAAGAAATACACCAGGTAGGCCATCTGGACCGAACGATTTGTTACAATGTAGTTCAGATAATTTTTGGAACACATCATCTACGCTTAAAGAGACATTGTTTGGCAGATCAAAAGAGTAAATGTCTGGATTTTGAAAGTCACATGGAATCACCTCGGAAGAATAAACTGAGGAAAAATAGGAAGAAAACATATTGGAGATTTCCCCCCCCCCCCCTCAGTAATTACGCCCCTGTCAACTATCAAGTAAATATTGAATTTAACTTAGTTCATTTTATTTCAATTAAACTTACTTCAGAGACACTATTCTCGTCATCACTTTCAATATTTGAACGCGAATTACGTGGTGTGTCTTGGTCGTCAAGAAAACTTAATATATTGAAGTACCATAATTTCGGCTGGTATACATCGTCTGCTCCTGATCCTGTCCTAGTTGATTCCTTTTTAACTCTTTCCGGTAGCTGCTTCTCAAGTTATTTATTTTTTTTACTGCCACTGACTTCGTCGCAGAAGAGTCAATTTCTTTTAGCTTTTCAACTAAAAGTTTGTAGGCAGCGTCCCTTTTGCATTTATCATGGTATTCTCTAGATTTTATTTTCCACAAACAATGTTCGCTTCGATAAATATTAATAAAATCTTCAATACACTGGTCACTGAGATTCTTTCTCTCGAGGCATTTTTTTAATGACAAGACTTCACAAAAGTGCTGAGCAGTGCAATATGCAGTGTAGTACAAACACGTGGACTGTGAAATAAAATTAAACCGTCTGGCAATTTGGCCGGACGGCCGGAACCCATACACGTTTCGATACGCCTGCGCAGTCCCGGAGTCGGCCGGATATACGAACGAGTTTTCATATTTTCTCCGGCGGCCTGCACAGATATAACTGTTCAGGCGACAGGAACCCACAAATCAAACGGCCGACCGGTCTCCGGCGGCCTGTGCAGGCATAACTGACAGGCCGACCGGACCGTGTGTGGCCTTAATGTGTTCAGCTATCATGGGTAGAAATGTGCAATAATTACTATATATATAAATCATTATCAAACGATTAACGAAATATTGTGTTTTCCAAGTCCACGTATTGTTGAGTGTTGACTGTTAGCAGTGGCGTATTTTCAATTTTTTTCTGGGGGGGGTCCAATAATTCCAACATAATATAGATAGGTAGGTACTGATATAAAGAAATAGTTTTTAATAGATTATAAGAATAAAAAATAGTTTTTTTATTATATTTTATAATTTTAAAGTACAAAATCTAAGCGTCTTTTTTTTTACTAAGTTCATCTAAAATGTCTTTTGGTAAGAGAGAATCTTTTCTATAAATGGACATCATAGCCAATTCATTAAGTCTATTCCAGAAAAAAAAAAACATAAATCTTACACAAATAAAAAAATAATATTTTACTGAATAAAATATTAACACTTACTTCAGAAATAGTATTACGTAAGTACGTTTTTATTAACTTTAATTTCGAAAATGTTCTTTCATTTGACGCAGTCGATACAGGGAGTGTTGCTAGAATTTGAAGCAAATTGAATATACCAGGATACATGTCTTTATTGCATATATTCAATGCATCAATTGCATTATTTGGCTTGTCGCTCATGTTACTTAATTTTCTTTGCCATAACTTGAACTCTCCAAGTACAACTGATGTAGGTGAATTGAATTCTTCTTTGTATGTATCAATTAATTTTATAAAATCATCTTCACTTCCTTTTGTGTCAAAAAGTGATTGAAAGCCATTTAAAATAGTTTTATGGTCAATAAATCTAGTTTTGAGCTGATTAATAAATGAGTCAATATATGGAATAAATATGGATATGCGATAGTACTTTTCGGGGTCGTCAGTTTTAATATTCATTCTATTTTTTTGAACATTAGATATTCTTGGTATCTTTAAAGGTGATTCAAATTTGTTGGCAATATTTTTTGCTTTTATAAAAATTTCATGAAACTCACTATCAGCGTTTTCCCTAAATGCATTTAGTTCGTCCGATGTATCTTGAGCCAAACTCATGGCCATCTTCAGATCAATATTGATCTTTTGAAATTGTTTCGACAGTGGTAGCCCAAATCCAAATACTTTTGATGTTACATGCAATGCTATAATAAATTCTGATTGTAAAATCGAACTTCTTAAACTTTGTGCCTTATGAGAGGTGTCAGATGTATCATTCCATTCAGAAATTATATCAAGAGCTTCTACAACGCTTTCGAATAGTTCCAAAAAATCATTTATTGAATGATATCTCTCTATCCACCGAGTTTCACAACTTCTTTTTAATGATCTTTTTGATAACACATTTTCCGATTGTTCAATAGCTAGTGAAAGCACAGCTTTACGTTTTGGAAATATAAAAAAATCCCGAAGTTTTCCAACAATTCCTAAACAATTTCGTATATTTTGAATACCACATGATGAAGAGACAGCAAGGTTGAGAGAATGGGCAGAACAATGAATATAAACGGCTAGTGGATGAGCTTGTTTTATATGATATTGAACACCATTATATTTACCCGACATTGCAGCTGCTCCATCAAAACCTTGCCCACGTAGATACTGAGTTTCGATTCCAAAATGTTTTAAGTTGTCCAGTATTAAGGTAGCTAATCCTTTGCCAGTCAAATCAGCTGTCGGAACAAACTGTAAAAAATCTTCATGCAATGTACATGTTTCACGATTTACATAGCGCGCACAAATGGAAACTTGTTCAATTCCAGCTATGTCAGCCGTTTCGTCCACAAGGACAGTAAAGCATTTTGCTTTATTTACTCTATTAACAATCTTAGAAATTAAAACAGAATTACAAGCATCAATTATGGCATTTTGACTAGTGGGACTAATGTATTTAATACGACCTGGACTTTTAAGGAATTTTTTTAAATTGGCATCACCAAGTGCTCGATACTTTAAAATATTACGAAAATTTCCATCATTTTCTCTGGGTTCCGAATTTTCTACTTTAATTTTACCAGAATCACGATGGCCTCTGATTGACAAGTTTTGCTGTCCGCATAAAAGTATAGCTTCTATTATTGGAATAATGCTTTTTCTATTTTCCATTACTTGTTTTGCATGACTAGAATCCAATTGGTTTTCAATAGATAATGACGGATTTTTTTTTATATTAAGGTAATTATCAGTGTCTGATAAACATTTTAAATGATATTGTAAACTGGAATGGTTTCTAAAAGTTTCAGTTGCGTGTTTCCAATTACGAAATGGTTTTTTGACTAAAGCACCAAGTGGTTGGGAATTGGTTCCTGCTTCGTTATTAGCAAATGCCACACAAAATTTACAAAACGCTCCATCAAACTTTAAGGAATACGCTAGCCAAGTAAATTTAGACAACCATGAAAATTGAAATCTTAAATTTTTTTTACAACTCACAGTTACTGGAAATTGAAAATTGTTTTCGGGTTTCCAGATTTGCTGAAGAATTTCTTCAATTTCGTGTGGCTTCAACAAACGATTCGTATACATGCCTATATCATACATATTAATATTCTCATCTACTCTTTTATCAGAAAATGTATTTGATTCATCAATATTGGGCGATAAAGAACGTTTTTTTGTTGTATGTGGTTCAAGAATTTGTAATGTTGGAGATTCGACTGGTTGATCTGATGGACACGCGACTGGTGCAATTATAAATGATTTCAATGAACTTTGTTTTATTTTTTTATTGGAAGACATATTTATTCCAATTCTAATTACCAAACAATAAATAGATGCATATATACACCTTTAAAAAAAATAAAAAAATAAATTTGATAGTATTTATTAAATAATTATTAAATGTTAGGTTTTGTCAAATCTGTATTCACACCTATCACAAATGAGAGACCCTTGTATTTAAAAATAAATAGGTATTCTATATTAACTAATTTTAAACAAAAGGTTATTAAAAAAAAAAATCATTGTATTCGACGATTTGCAAGACGATTCTATGCAATACCTATGCATTTTATATCAGAGACATTTATGAACCGATACACATTACAGAGACACAGGGTACAAATAGATTTTTAAAGAAAAAATAATATGATTTTGTATATAAAAGTTCAGTATATAATATAGGTTAAACGAATATTGAAGTATGCCTCGTAGCTCCGATAGTCATACCTATATCAATAATTATTCTCAGTACACGTTGACAATTAATATTATTTCGATAGCAGTTTAATAATATGTTGTCAACTTCGTGTTAAAACGTAAAAATAGGTTTAAATTATAGAAATATGACATTATGACAACAGTCGTCCATATCACTCTGCTTATCTCTGGACAGAAAATAAATATTACGTAGGTAAACATGGTTCTAAATGAATACTAATTGTCGACCAGTTGACTCCAAAAATTACATTAATGTTTTATGTTATTATTAAAAATAATAAATTCCTTACGGCTCACATCAGATCAATGAGCTATTATTATTATTTACTGATTTGTTATATATTTAATTGGTACTTACGTAATAGATCTAATGTATTTTATTGAAAAAATGTAATGCAGTTCGCACTCGTAGTTCGACGCCGTCGTTCAGTTACGAAATACAAACATGAAGTAAATGGTTCTAGGACAATTTCCTTGTTTACAAAGCAAAAATTCATATAGATTAATAATAGATATCTATATTGTCCTATAGAAATAGTTTATTGGAGAATGATGTGAGTCGTCAATTCCTGGCGATAAGAATGTTTTGACTGTTTCGAGAATTATTGATGTTTATCTAATACGGGTATTTTATAAAGTGGTAATACATACAATACAAGGAAAAGTTTAATTACGCGTGGCGGCGGGTTTTTGATCGTTCGACTGTTGACTAATTTTAAACTATATTTCATATAAATATTTTGTTCATGGGAAAAAACCATGTCCGCGCGTGCTTACATAAATCGGGGTCTGCAAATATGTAAGAATTTCTTTTTTTTGAGAGAGATTCTGGGGGGGGTCCAGTACCCCTGGACCCCCCCCCCCGTAAATACGCCACTGACTGTTAGCGTTGTTGCCCTACAATTTACAAATTAACCAATATTTAAGTTAAAATAATAAAAAAATTCGTTAAGAAGTGCAAATATGGATTCAGTTTCTAAAAAGAAGAAAATGAGGACACTTGACTCCTATTTTTCAAATGATAAAACAAAAAAAGTAAGCTCTTATAATGGATTATTTATATTTAATTTCTTTTTACTTAAAGTATGCATTTTTTTCAGTTAATACACCTTACAAGAAATAAAGTTGGTTTTTGTTTAAATTTTATTATGTTTTTTCTTAGAAATATTAGAAATAATAGTGTAATTACTGTAATTTTATATTTACTTAAATAAGTTTTGATTTTTAAAAAATTATAAACGATACTATTACTAAGTATGAGTAGATGAAAGTGTAGCGGTAAATCTTCCCATAAGTATTTAGGTACTTGCAATTTTTTGCCACCCCCCCCCTGAGCTACATTGCTGCGGGCGTCCCTGGTATATACTATTAAACTAGACTAAGAACAATTGTGATAAAATACAAACAATCTTTAATAANTGAAAGTGTAGCGGTAAATCTTCCCATAAGTATTTAGGTACTTGCAATTTTTTGCCCCCCCCCCCCTGAGCTCCATTTCTGCGGGCGTCCCTGCTGGTTTTTATAATTTCCATCTAGGGATATCCAAGTTTATTTATGTATGTCCTTCCTTGGAGACATGGTATTTTTGATCACCAGCCCTTTGCCCACAGCAAAATAAATAAGTTTTGATCCATTGCCATTTGGAGTTGCATGCAAGCTATGAATTCCTACCTTTGTGTTGAAATCTTCCAGGATATATCTGACCTGGCCCACCAAAGTATTGAACACATCTTCCAGTGTTGAGTAAAAGAGTTCCTTTTCTTTTTCATCTTTATTATCGGTAGGAACATGTATATTAATTAGTATCATACCAAAATTTTTTTCAAAGTGTATCATACTCAAATATTTGTATTTGGTATTGGCATTATATTGTTAGGTTTAATTTAAATACCACATGCAAGTAATTTCCTCCTCTTAATTTGGATGATTAGTTGTTCTATTTTTATTGCTTTTTATGCTGTATACTGCTTATTATTTACTAACCTTTATTTTAAACTGCTTATTTAGAATTTTCCTAAAAAGAAAATTGGTTTGCAAAACCTCTCATTCTCAGCTGGATTGTATAACAATTATAAATAGCTTGAATACAGCATAAATAAAGATTCTGCTTTTTGCTTTGTTTGTCGCATGTTTTCCAATGATTTAGGAAAAGCTGAAGAAACATTTATAAAAATTGGGTTCAACAATTGGAAAAATGTAAGCAACTTTATTAACTCTATTGTTTAAGTATAGTTTTCTATTTATGACAAATTAGTAATAATACCACATATTAATAATATGGTTCGGAAAAAAACCGTTTTTTATTCATTTCCAATGTTATTTTTGTTTAAAACAAAATAATTTTTCTTTTTTTTTTTACTTGTGTTATAACACAATAAATGCTAAATGGAATACTGATATTTTTGATAATTGCTTTTAGCTCAAAAATAGATAATACATTAAACCTAATTCTTTCTTAGTATTATAAAATCAGTTTTTGATAATTTTATTTTACAGCTCTTTTGTAGATTAAAATCACATGGTTCTTCTGCAAACCATATTTGCCCTTCAAAAATGCATAAATATAAATGTAGTAAAAAAAGTGGTTCAGTAATATCACAACTGAGTTCTCACTTTCAGCAACAAATAACATAAAATTGTAATCATTTAATTCCTTTAATTTATATAGACTTGTACTTGGCCAAACAAGGAATTTCTTTTAGATGTCATGGTGAAAAATATGATTATAATAACCAAGGTTAGCATTCATCAACAACTTTTATATTATTTATAATTTATTTCAAATTATTATTATTGGTGATTTATTAATTCTAGGCAATTTTAATATATTATGCAAACTTTTCACTAAATATGATAGTGAATTTGAAGAAATGTACTTGAAAAATATATCTTACTATCTGGGCAATATAAGGAGAATTAATCAACACTTTTAGTAATCATTTCAAAGAAATACTTTTAAATAAACTAGCTGATGTTTGTATTTTCTCTATAATGTGCAGTGAAACAAGATATACATATGTGTTGTTATTTGTTAACAATATGATAAATGATAATATATAAATAAAAACTTAAATAATTTTGTTGTTTGTTCAATAATAACCTAAGTATTGCAACTTGAGTCTTAAGTCATTAACTATGTTTGGTTATTTAGGTGTTTTAGAGAAAAATAACTATCAATCTGCTTAAGATATGTAAAAAAAAGAAATGCACCCATGTGTGATTTATATGCATTGCTGCATTCATTGATTTTTACAAAAATAATAAGGTACAATAAAGTTTGTACTGACATAAAATGTCTATTATTTACTATTTATCTTCAATGTTTAGAGAGAATACAATGTATTCAATGTCTTAGCGGCTATATATGTTCACTTTTCCCGTCCATCTAATAACATAAATTATCACAAATTCAGTAAAATCTTGGTTTGAAGAAAGGAAACATTTTAAGGATCTGTGATACTCGGTGGGTTAGAATTGTGAGGTAATGTTGAAAAACTATATTGCTATTGTGACATTTTTAAATTATGAAATAGATAAGCAAGCAGATAAAGGTGTTACTAAAGCAATAGGTAAAACATAGACAACAAATCATAAATGTCAAAAGAATTTTTAATATACATAATATTGCAGGAATTCTAAGTTCAATCGAAAATTATGACTTTATAATAGTTATTACTATTCTTAAAGAGGTGTTGTCCATGTTAAATGTGTTAAGCAATTCATTACGGAATAAAATGTCAACTCTTGGTTTCTCTAAACATGTGATAGTTGGTGTGATTAAAATATTAGAAAGTCTAAAACCTGAAAGTGAATTTAAAAAATATGGGAAAAATAAAAATGTTAACAGAAGAAAATGACAATGGTTACAAACTCCATTAACTAGTGAATACATTTTGTGTAATTTGATAACATATTAATATTATAAGAATTGGTTTTATGTTTTCTTTTCCAATATAAATGTACATGATACATACAGGTTTAAAGCGTCGCAGAAGAGAGTTAAATAAGCTTCATGACTATGTATTTACAACTACTAAGGGCGTTGAAAATGATTCATATTCATCATTAGCAAATGCCAAATAAAGTAGAAAGTTATTGGAAAACTTCTACGTATTTTATTATTATGGGTAGCGTAATTTCCCATGATGAAGTTTGGCTATGGCCAGTTCAGTTGATTCATTTTATAAATTATATACAATCGAACAATGAAATTTATTGATCATTAGAAGGTAATATGGTAATGTGCATATACATAAATAAACGATTAAATAGCTCACAAGCAGAAATAAAAGTGGTATTTAATCATTTAAAGAGTATGATAAACGATTTCAATTTAAATGATATCAAAGTTGTCATACAAAAACCATATCCTAACCTTCATAAACTATTACAAATGGCTTGATCTATGCCCATAAGTTCAGCCACATGTGAAAGGTCATTTTCATTAATGAGATGTGTAAACAATTAGCTTATATCCTCCAAGGCTCAAGACAGATTTTCATTTTTATCCATTTTAAATATTGAAAGAGACATAACTAATAAAATAAAGATAAATGATACTGTAAATAAATTTTCTAATGAAAAGGACAGAAAAATATTATTAATTTACCTAGACTTAAAAGCTTTGTAACTAATAAAAATATTTTATTAATTTATTTCTATTCTTCTTATTCATATTTATTATTTATGTAGCTAGCCTGTAAGTAGTAAGTGAAAACATTTGACTTCAAAAAGTAACTATTAACGATTATAGATAAAGACTTCTAAGCAATTGAAATATAAATGTTAGTGTTTACAATGAATATTGGGAGTGTGGGGGCAAAGCCCCCAAGGGTAACTAATATCATTAAAATTTAGCTCTAGTTGCGCATATAAGTATCCAACTTCAGCTTAAGTAATTATTGTATTAAAAATTAGTAATAACCACAAAAATTCAGATCATTTTTATAATAATAATAGTGATAATATACTAACTATATTGTTGTAACACTATACTGACGGTAAAACATGTTTTGTTTAATAAACATTAAAGAGTAATTTATTTTAAAAATTTTAATAATTACAAAATCTATATATAAAAAAAATGTTCATGAAAATGTACAGCTCTAGGCACTAAATTTATTATAACATTTTTAATTTTTACAACTAAGGATTGATGATTTAAAACAAGTATTCTCTTAAATAGTTTATAAACTGCAACCAAAATATCTAAAAAATGATATAAACCATTATTTTTACAGACATTTTAAATTCAAATTTGGATGAAATTACATATTAAAACATAGAATAACAATTTTAGTAATTTTATTGCAACTTAAAAATATTATTGGTGGGTACTTGAGACTTTTAGAGTATATTGTTATATTGTGAACAGTATACAGACAATGACATTTTCAAATAGGTACAATTTTTTTGGAAAAAATTAATTTAGTCTAGGTACTGTAGTACTAATGCCTATAATAGTAAAATAAATTACTTTTATCACAATATCAATAAACACACTTGTACCTAGTAATACTATTGAACTATTAACTGACAAACCGTATTCACTCATAATCGTTTTTGGCATACAATGATTTTATATAATTGAATTTAAATTTAGCACATCCAATATAGTGACTTTCTAGACACCTAATGCACAGCCAAGTGTCACCCACTTACCAGCTTTCTTTAAATTGTGTACATAGGCTCCTATTTTAAAGTTAAAAATTGATGGTGGTGTAACCTACAAAAATGTGGATAATTTTAATTGAAAAATGTCTATACTTATCGAAATGATGAGTGTTAAGTACTAAATTGATCACACTGTATATTATTAAACTTAGTACAACTTAACATTTTATACATACACACATATTCTTAATCTATATATTTAATATTGGCTGTTAATTGTTGAACTGACACAACTGTGTGGTAACAATTTTAAGAGTGCTATAGACATAGGATATTGTTACATCAGTTGGAAGCTAGATGGGCTAAGCTTCTGCAAGGATAAAGAAAATAACTAAAAAATATATATCTGCAGAAAGATAAGCATTATTAGTTCAAACTATATTATTATAGCGTTTTGCCTTCTAGACACATATCGTTAATTACTATCAAAATTCTTTACATGTATTAGATATTTAACTTAATTAACTAGGTATTTTTATAATTTAACAGAAAAGCATTTACAATAATATCAAACATTTTAACTATTGACAAAAATTAAAATATAAGTTAAAAAAAAATAATTTGGTAATCAATATTAATACTACTTTAAAATAATACAAATTAATATAACTACTATAATTAAGGTATACTAAAATTATAACTATCACAACCTGAAAATATTTCAATAATATTATAATTTACAAGATATTTACAGTTGCGAAAAAAAACAATGATAAAAAACAAACAACAGTTTATATTATATAAAAAAAATTACTATGATAATGGCGATACATTTAGAAACAGATAATGAAACAAACATAAAATTTTAAAAAAATAAGCGTATAGTTTGTGTTTTAAATACTGAGTATAAATTAAGATTAGAAACAGGTTAAAAATATTAAATTTAAACGAAATAATAATTGTAACTACATAATATTGTTCAAAGATATGTAATATTTTTTAAACTATTGAATGGGTTCAATATACCATATATCCATTTCTTAATTGTATAGATGAGTTAATTTTAGTTTATAAACTAAATCAGTTGTTCCAACCAGAGGAATTGAAATGGTTAACAGGCTTTTAAATTAAGATAGGTATCAAAATGTTGGCTACACAATTAAATATTATTAAATAATACAAGTACTTATTTTAAGTAACTTAACTAATGGGTAAAATAGACAATAAATAATAAATAATAATAATATTATTAATGTTTTTGTATTGTTACATCAATAAAAGGTTTAACAAAAAATACAATTGTGTACATTAAAATTAAAATAAATATTTGTCGATATAAAGGAAAAAAACATTGTAGCAAGTTCAGTAGATAATTAAAGACTAAAAAAACACTGATTTAGATAAATGTCTACAATTTTACTATTATCTTTTGTTTATTAGTATATACAAAATTATCTAAAATAAATTTAATTAATTAATATTATAATACAAAATATAAGATGTATTACACCAAAGCAAATAGGAAAAATAATAGTATACAAAAACTCAATTTATAATTAATATAACACAAAATTAAACAATGCAATGATAAGAATAATAATAAAAAAAATTGTACAAACACCAATATATTATTTTTAAACAGATGAAATAGTTATTTTAATACAAATCTACTATATTATAATTTTTTGTATAGACTGGATTGATAAAAAATAATAATTTAGAATTTATTGAAAAATGTACTAAATTATAGGTAATACTTGAAATAAAAAAAACATGATTTAATAATTTGTTTTAATGGGGGAAACGGAAAAATATAAATGAATCACAATGATAATAGAATATACAAGAATCTATGGAAAATAAATATATAAATCATTAGATCACTTCAATCTTATGAACATGTTTTGAATAAATCTACCTTATAGCAGCAAGCTTAGCTGAGAGACACTATGTTTTTAGAGCGTAAATTTTTTTTATTTAGTATTAAATAATCCAAAAAAGATTTAGTTAATTTACTATAAACATAAATTATTATGTTGTTAAATGTTATGTTCTCTGTCAACGCCCCTATTATAATGTTATTTTAGTTAGTATCTACTATCTATAATAAGTTTCATTTACTTAAAATATCTTTAAATTATTAACATTTGTAATGAAATACAATTTTGAAGATTTAATTTTAATTTGTCCTAAGTTGATAACCAGCCTTAAATAGTCGATACTTTATGTTGACAGTCAACTATTCAAATCTTCAATCTAAATATTCGTATGTAGCTGAAACACTCTGAAAAAAATCATATTTATTAAGTAATATGTATACCCCACAATTTCGGAATAATAATATTTTACCTCTAATTCAGGTGTATTTTCATTTAAATGTGATATATGACATGATCTGCATAATAAATGAGAATCTAATGGATAACATCTTTTATCAGGCTCATCCGTTAATTGCATTCCACACTCCTAAAAGTTACAGTTTCTATAAGTTTTTTTTATTATTTTAAACATATTAATTTTAAAAATATTGACCTCGCAAATAAAGCAATCAACGTGAAAATCTTTATCCATTGATACAACTCGTACAGTTTCCTCAGTACCCTAAAATAGAAAAAAATTAAAATTGACCAGCCATCAGCAAAGTTTATCTAATAATTACTTCAACTGGTGTAATTCCTTTTCCACAAGAAGCGCATTTAGGAGCATATTTCCTAAAATCATTAAAATATATAAATATATTTGTATTTATTAAAAAAATATTAGTAAAAAATTATGTTTATTCGCAAGCTATTAGCAAAAATTAGTCAGGTAATATACAGAACATAGGTAGACAATTAAACTAATTTGTGAGATTTTGAATAACAATTGAGTTTTTTTATAATTGGAAAATCATTGTGAAATTATGTTATTATATTATACATAATATTTATTATGAAAAATTAGTAACATTTTTTATCAACAATCAAATTATGAAAAAATAATCAAATAGTGACTTTATTAGGTTTTTATGTACCTAGTCTGTCACCAGACTCTGACTTAGTATAGCAATGTATGTATAAGACAATATGTCCTGGTATTTGGAGAAAAATTAAAATTGATTAATTTCAAAGATTTTATTGAACAAAATTGTAATCTATAATTAATCGCTTATAAGTGAAAATACATAATTAACAACTGAGAGACAAATGTTTTTGTAACACTTGTACATCATTTCTAATATGTTTTTTGATTAATGGGGATACAAAAATTAATTCCATTGTTAAGATTGATACTGTGGGAAGTTTTTTCAATTTTGAGACAATTTTATAGTTGCAACCCTCCATCCCTCAATCACTGCTTTCATCATTTAAATCATCTAATAAATATCAACATCAATAATTTATAACTTAATAGTATTTTTGATAATTACAAATACATCATTATCATCTATTCATTTATTAATCTGTTGAGCAATTAAGTTTTTCAATTGTTGTTGTATTGTTATAACTTATAATTTTTAATGTATTGAATGATTTGTCGGTTTTCACTTTTCAGATACATAATAACAAGATACAATAATACATTCAATATAATTAACTATTTTTGCAGCCTGTCTGAGCTTTTTTAATAAGATGGAATGCCATAATCTAGGCATATATATATTGTGCAATACATAAAATTAAATGTAGACTTATTTATTAAATCAATACTTTTTATAGTTCATAATAATTATAATATATTTGTAGAAATATAGATTATTTAAACTGAAGTATGGCCCCGCTTAGAATGAATAAATTCAGTTGAAGCGTGAGTGACAACTGAGATATTGTGCTAACCTATGGTAATCAGCAACACAGTAAATTTTATTGTCAATATCCACTGTAAACGGTATTCCATCCAAACAACCATTGCAAACGCAGCACCGAAAACAACCAGGATGAAATGATTTTCCCATAGCTTGTAAGATCATTTCCATTATTAAATGTCCACATATTGAACATTTCTCAGCAGTTTGTTGAAAGCCTATGTACTAAATAAACAAAAAAGAAATCAAATTAGAATATTTAATGTCAAGAAAAAATTTGTAAAAATGTAATACTGTATTTACAAATATAACATATCAAAACTTTCTATATACATATTATAACTATGTTAACAATTAAAATTACGAAATCAAAGAAATTAACTATTGTCATTTTAGAAAATATATTGACAGTTTAATTAATAGTAGCATATTAGCTATGCTAATTTAATCATAAAAATATATCCATGTAAAATGTAAATAAAAAGTTATAAGAATCGAATGACAGTATTAATATTTAATAAAATATTGAATTATTTAGCATCTTAATTGTAGACTTATTGGCAGAGGTAATAATAATTTAATAAATAATATATAATAATTTAAATGTCATTAAAATAAATAACACTCACATTGTTTATACCTAAACTAAATAACAGAATAACTTTCAATTTAACAACATATCAGAGGTCGGGACTAACAATATGATATATATATATATATAATATAGCAAAATACTATAGCTCACTAGATGTGTACAGTTAGTGTATCAAAAATTATAATTTCTTTATCATTATCTAAAACCTATTAGGTGATAATTAAAATATTACGATAATAATTTTATTTATTTATCTTTATTATAATAATGAATTAACTCATGGAATCAAATACCGTCCAGTGACCAAATTTCAAATCAGTACAAACTACAATCTACCAATTTTCAGTATTCTTATTATAAACAAATACAATATATTTAATTATTCAAAGTTAATACCATGTAATCTTCTTCACAGTACACTCTTCCATAAACATTATAGAAAGCTTTACCACGAAGTGCACGTCCACAAGCACAACATATGAAACAATTAGTGTGATACAAGTTTCCCATTGCTTGACAAGCCTGGCCAGCACCAGTCACTTTATTACCACAAGTATGGCATATTCCTTAATAAAATAAATTCAATTATGTAAAATCAATGACACTTTTTATTTATTATGGTAATAAATAATAAGACAAACCAAAATATTCTCCACCAACAGCAACTTCTTGAGTTTCCATCTGTTCTTCTAACTGTCTAGTTAGTTCTTCAATTTTCTTTTCTGCTTCTGTTGGTCCCTAGAGTGAAAGTAAAAATGTTAACTAAGTAAAAAAGTTTATGAGAACATAAATTTATAAATTCTATCAAATGATGATAATTATATAAGAAATTTAAGAAATTTTGCATTTCATCATTAACAACAATTTTAACAGTTATGAATAAATAAATATTACAGTTTACAATTATATAATAATTTTAATAAAATTACCATTGGTCGAGGTGGAGTAACATTATATGGTAGAAGATTTTTAGCTGGTTGTTTAATTTTAATAGGTAAAGGTGTTGGTGAAGTTCGTGTTAATTTATTATGATGTATTGGTGATTCCTGTTGATATGCAGATGCTGTTTGAAAAATTTTAGGCATGGTATTATGTTGTTTTTGAGATCTAGATTCGGCAAGTGCTGGTTGCCCTACTACACACATTTGTGATGCTACTGATGTTGACTTTGGTGTTACTGGATCTTGGGAATAGTTCACATTATTTGCTGAACTATATGATCTCATATTTTGAGGATTTGTTTGAGAAGCATATTCTGATAAGGCTTTTATTGCTTGTGGAACAATAGTAGGTATGGGCTTTATGTATGGTGTTGCATGTTGAGCTGGGTAACGGCTAATATGATCAATAGATTGTGTGGGTACTTGTGGACCAGGTTTAGCAGGTTCATAACAATTTGAATTTTTATTAGAATCAGATAAAGTTTCATAAACAGGTGGTGCCTCATAAGGTGGAACTTCTTTTCCCATTGGTGGAATATATTTGGGATAGCTCACTGGAACTTGAGGTTGAGCTTTGCGGTAATTTGATTCATATAGAGCTGAAGAACCTTCACAAGAAACTATGCTAGTTCTAGGGCTGGAATGTCTTGAGTCTTGAGATCCACCACTGGAATGTGAACCTGGTCTAGGTCTTTGATGGTAATATGTGGGAGTTTGAGTTGAAGAGCGCCCACCATTATAAAAATCAACATTCTCATATAAAGGTGATGATTTTAATTCATGACTAATAGACCCAATACTAGCACGAGGACTTGGTGAGTCTCGATTTCCTATTGATGTGCAGTAAGGTGGTGGACTTGATAATGAAGGTTTTAATGTCATATTGCTTCTAGAATATTTACCTTGATCAATGTTGGAATGTAAATACGAATTGCTAGTACCATTCATACTATCTATAGAATTATTACTTTGTAATCTATCTGTTGAGTTAGATAAATCCATTGATTTGAATGGAAATACCTTGGAATGTGTTGGAGATTTTGGATCACTAACTTTTAAATTTGAAACACAATTCAGTATGTAATTATTAATATCTTGATCAGTCAGCACAGCCGGTTTAATCGAATTGATTGAATCTGAAACTCTATTGTTCATAATGTTTGATTCTGTTTTAACTAAAATTTTCCCATAACCAAGATTTGATAGTAATTTTTCATTCTTTTTTTCTGGACTTGTTTTTTCAGTTGTACTTGGAGAATAATTGTTTTTCTGGCGTTTGTCCATAATAATTACACTAAAAAAAAAATTCCATATTATAACAGGCTAATAATTTGATTTAAAAGCCATAGCTCAAAATACAAAGTTTACATCACATAAATTGAAAGCAAAACAATTAATTAATGTATACAAAAAACATGTAAAGATTATAGCCAAATTATTTTTAATTATTGTTAACCTGCACAATTTGTTGCTCATTTTTAGTTTAAATAATGGGTATTTTATGTTTTCTTACTTAATTTTTATATTTCATACGGACCTAAGACCAGTTACAGTTATATAAATATATACATTTTTTTTATTAGGGGGAATACAATGGGGACAATACATGGGAATAGGACATTGTAGGGTGGTACGGCAGGGAGTTTTTTGTATAGGTTTTTATGTTGGTAGGATAGTAACACTAGTTTATGTATATGTGGCAAAGATATGTTGCTAAAAACCTGGGAGGTCACGCATCTGGGAGCTAGGAACGTAGGCCAGTACATACACTCAGAGCGTTTCCACAGATTGAGCGTACAACTGCGCCTCACCAAGCAACAACTATACATAATATTTTATAAAGTAAAATAAACCATAAACTATTGACAGTCAATAAAATGCAGATTTAAGGTTAATTGTTTAAAAAAATTGAATAAAAGTAAGGAAAGATGAGAACCTTGCAGAACTGCAGAAAAAACATGAATAGGATAAGATAAAAATATTTATATTTAACAATTTGATGTCTGTTGAGATAAAGAAAGATGTTAACCATAACAGCAAAGAATTAGCTATACCAATATTATTTAATTTTTGTGATGATAGGATTACAGGTTATGAAAGAGTGGGGTATAAAATGACACTAGAAAAGTAGTTTGAGAAAATTATTTTTAGATGTGAATTATAAACCAGATTTTTTTTCATTTTTTAAAATTTCATTTATAATATGTTACAAACTAAAACAATAAGTTAAAAAATGGATGAATTTATGGCTTGAAAAAAGGACGGATTAAAGAAGCCTTAAATAAAGACTCATAGTCAGTTACTCATATACATAGATATAAGGGTTTACAATAGTATTATTTTACAATTTTAAAATTAGATTAGTAGGTTCGGACACCATCGCCTTTTTTTTATTTTCCTGGAGTTACTAGGTATATTTGCTGATGCAAGCCTTTTGATTAAGGGATTGGTGTGGTTTTTAACATTTAAGTTGAACTGCCTTTAAAATTTTTTAGCTACATCGAGGACGGCCAAGATAGCAAGATCATTATGTAAAAACTGATTAGATACATAGAAGAATACTTTAGTTATAGCATGGAGGGTTTTGGATTGGAAGCGCTAAAAACGGTATATATTTGAATTCTTCGCAGAAGCCTATAATTGGATTCTGTATGTACACATTGGTTTGAGGTAGAGTTTGTTATTAGTAACATTATTATTTTAATATTTTAACACTTAACTTCATTGGTAACTATGTGGCAGGAGGTCAGGAGAGAACGGAGGAGACAAAATCGATCATTTAAGGATAGAGTTTGTTGCGAAAATGAGGAGACCACATAAGAAGTTTATCAATGATAATGCCTAGATCAGCGTTTCCCAAATAATGGATCGTGACCCACTACTGGGCCATGAAATGAAAATGTAATACCGGGTCGCAGAATTTAATGAAATTCTCATATTATATTTGTTATTTATCATTTTCGTTTGATAATTTAAACTATTAAGTATGAAGGTGAAGTCAAAGAGATAGGAGAGATGATTCAAATGTGTTTTATTTTGTCTTTTAGTACACAATGATAAATGTAAAATATTTTGGTGGGTCACGAAGGTGAAAAATATAAATTACCGGGCCAGCCCAAACAAAAGTTTAGGAAACGCTGGCCTAGATAATTAATGCTTTGAGCAGTTGGCAGAGTTTGCTCGTTTAAGGTAATAGGTGGGCATTTTCACTTTTTAAGAATTATTGATAATCATTGAGCCAAGATTAATTTTGTGGTACCTACTTCCTTTATTTTGTATATTTTTTTATTATAAAGTATATTTTGTAGAGCTAAATCTCGTGATATACTGATATATGCGGTCAACTTATTTTTTGTGTTCTATCTTAGATAGAAAGATCACATTACATTTTTTTACAATGTTTTTATCTATGTTTTTTCCAGCGCCTATCGTCAATAAAACTACGACTTTTAATTGAAGGTAAAGAAAATGTGCGATACGAATGAAAACTTATTAAAGAGGAATTTAGCAGAGTATTGGTGGCAAAGCTTATATAAAACTGGCAATATTTTTGATTCATTCTTAAGAGACATGAAATTATGTTTTGTAGATAACTCAAATAGCTTTTATTTTATAATTTATTTATTTTATGGTGTTTTTTATGTAGGTATTAGTCAAATATATAGCATATAGTCTTATATAGCTACCTACATACTATACTGTAATTTTTACTTAGGTAGGCCATATATTTTATTGGTAACCCGTATATTGGGAGGTATGTATTGTGTAGTGTTGAAAAACTAATAAATATATTAATTTTAAAATGTATGAATAATATTGTTAGAAAAAGAAACAAATATAATAGTTACTATTAATGTTTATAAATTATAATAAAGCTAAAATGGATAAAATATACACAAAAGTCTTAAATGTAAAAAATTATAAATTAAATTAATTTTTTTCAAAATTCCAAATTTTTTTATTTGTGTATTTAATATTAAAAAATATAATTGTTTTATTTTTCCATGACAAAGATTTGTTACACTTGAACACTTCATATTGCATATCATTTTGATTAATCTCGTGTTTATAAAAATTTTTTAATTAATTCTATCAGCATCAGATACAATATTGTTAAATTTGTTTTCCATTTCAAGTTCTTCAACTTTTAATTTTTTTTGGTAATAAGAGTTAAAGAACATAGACACAAAAAATTATAAGACTAAAAATAGTAGAAAATGAAAAAGTAATACAAAAAAAAGAAAATAACACAATATATTATAATATCATAAAAGACCAACACAAATATTATCTACAAGTTACAAATTATAAAATATGCTGGTAAAAGTAACGAAAATAATCAATTAAATAAAGATAATATAATTTAAGCTAATGTACACAGGCACACCCACTATAACCTAACTTACAAAAGTATATGATCTAAAATTCTGTAACATTTTATTCTTGGAATAGCTTTTCTTTCATTGATTCTAGCTTTAGCAATAGTTTCAGTAAGTAAAACTTGTTATCGTATGAACTGATATATTCAAGAATAAATTTGGAGGTAAAATATTACAAATTAAAAATCCCTTGTCTACAAGTATTGAATCACCTGGTTCCAATTGAGATAAAATCCCACTTATCAGTGTTATTATTTTATCTGAAGTGGAAACCGGAAACAATTTGCTTTTAGAAGGTGAAAACACCATTTGGTGCCACACCAATTGACGATTTCCATATATGATAGTGTTTATAGTTACTAAAAGTGACTTTTTGTGTAGCCAACAAGACTATAGCTGTACCAGTTTTAATTTCTGTACAATTAATATGTGTGTATATATGTGCTGAAGAAATATGGTAGATATAGCTGATTTTTATTTTTTGATGACATTTTAGACATAACCATTAAGAAAATGTTTTCATACAAAAAATAATCCAAGTCATAAAAATATTTGTTATGGTTGCCTGACTACATTTAAATGTTGACTAAGATCTACATGTGGCAAATTAAATCTTAGTTTCATTGGGTAATCAAAAATTGATAATGCAGAGAAATATTTTCAAATTTCCATTTTAAATAATAATGTAGGTATTTCAATTTTTTCAGTTTGAGATCAAAGATTTAAGAACTGGGTGTTCTAATATACAACTTATTAACTCATCATTACTTAAAATCATTGCATAATATAAGCTCTCAGAAATTGAAGAAATTTTTAACTTTAATTGTTCATTTTATTTTCTTAACAACAAAATATTTATATTAGATATATGTACAACATATTTTTTGCTAATTAATTTTGTTAGCCTAGAACTCAATTTTCACAATATTTCTTTTAATTTTAAAAACTAAGATGGTTTGAATGAACAAATTGTAATGTCCATGTTAATTAAATGAAAGGACTTAGAAGATAAAAACTCAGAGTACAAATAAAAAAATAACCGGTCTTATAATATAATATTTAGTATTTGTATTTGTGCATAATATATAGTTACTAACTGCTGGAGCTGATACTTTAATTTAAGTTTACTCAGTTCAACAATTTCTGATGGTGTTTTTTTATGGAGTGGGGGGAGGTATAGTTTACTAAACAATTTAATATGAATATACATGATTATGATTATTAACATGATATTGATTTACTTTTATGTTAAATGCATTTAATTATTCTAACTAATAATAATCTATTATTCTTCATTTTATATTAAGAGTCTAATTAGTACAGCATAAATATTAAATGAGCTGTACTTTTGAGGAATTGTGTCAAATGCTAGTGGCAACATTGTAGGAATGGCAGTCAATTTTGGTTCTCTTTTTTTCTGGAAATTGAAAATTAGAAAATTAGTTTTTCCTATGATCTAATATTTCAGGACCATTTTTTTCACAATATTTCTGAAAAAACAATTTCAGATTCTAGCACCTGGTCAAGGCTCAACATCTCTTTTGTATGCAAATAATGTTGATGTTTATATAATTATCTTAAAACTACTTTAACTATTAATTTACTAGTTTGTCATAAATGTTTACATAACTTTTATAAAATGTAAAATAAAGTTTTTTACTTCAATAATTTAATCCATCTATAACTTCTTAGTTTCAACAGGAAATTTAAAGAACCTACATTTATGTTTTTGGTTGTTGTGAGTATAATTAAATACCCAGCACTACATGAGTTATGGTCAGTCTTACTAAAAATAGTAATCACTAATCAGTAATAAAGACTTACGAGTACAAGTTTATATGAATGTAAATTTTCAATACACTATGCATTATTATTAGGATATTAGTCATAACTTCATAAGCAACCAAAATGCATTATGTATTTTTGATTTTTATAAATAAATGATAATATAATAATATTGAATATATAATATTCCCACAAATGTTGGACAAATGTTTTCCTGATCTATATAAATTTCTGTACATATTTCAGAGAATCCTATGTTTAATATTTTCTATAGTGACCTAATTCAACTTTTTTGACTAAAATACATAACTAAATCGGGTTTTTTATTTTTTAAAAATATTTAGTTAATAGACCCATGTATGGGTATAGGGACTTTAATTTAATTGAACCTGGCTTATTTATAACCTCCTAGGATGACATAACACCAATACAGAGTATTTAAATACGAATTACCTATCGAGTTAATTTGATAAATCGTATCCCTAACTTACTATTAACAAGTAAAACAAGAATAGGTTGTAAAATTAATGCTTAATTAAAATACATATGGACTGTAAATTGAAATTAAAATTTTAAAAGGTTATCTAACAATATTTCAGAAAATAAAATTATGTCTTATACTTGAGCATAAAATATGAAATAAAATATATACCAGCTTATTGTTAATACTTATAATAATCAATAGATATAAAATTGTATGAATAAAATAGAACCCTACTTAACTAGTTTTAACATCAACTAAGTAATATCGCACTATGTATTGAAATAGAACAGTTTCGGATCAATAAAATTCTAAAATAATAAATGTGTACACATAGGGTGATTCACCAAGCATGCTCAACCCTATTTTTTCCTTTAATAATGAATCAAATTCTTGAATTTTTGCACTACTTAAAGAGTGTCTTGTGGTGACATAAACTTCTGTTTTTCAAAGAAGAATCCCTCTCTTTTACTGTAAATTAATGAGTGAATAATTTTTTTGAACATTTTGATGTGCTATATTCATAATTCAAATGGGTAGTTCCATAGTTATTAAAATGTTTGTATCTAAGATAATAGTCCTTAAAACTAGTTTTAAATAAATATAAAATATATGTAAAATTGGATTTAGTATTTATTATGCTAGGGCCATTTTTTACATATTATTAATATCAATAGAATATTCATGAATACAATTTTCAAGTCCACATATCCCCGATATCTTATAAACTCAATACTGTGGACCTTTTATCTTTATAAATCTAAGTTAAATAACTCAAAAACTACTCGTTGACTTTAACAAGTCGAAAATTTCAGGAAATTAACTACCTACTGTATAATTTATAGTTGAATAGGGGTGTTATCATTTGAAAAACAAAAGTTTGTATCTCTGGACACTTCTTAAGTACCTAGTACAAAAAATTTCAAGAATTTGAAAATATGGTCTTAAAGAACATTTAAAAATTTTAAAAAATCGGATTTTAAATAACTGCATTATTAAAGAAAAAAGGGGTGAGCATGCTTGGTGTATATAATTATATACAGGGTGATACAATATATACAGAATATTATGTTACTTGTAATTCAAAGTTAATCACGAATAACATGATGATCGATTAGTACCTAATACCTAAGCAATTTAATTTGTTTTCTATAGGTAAAAGTTTAAATATTCATAAAAAAAAAAAAATAGGTGCATCAATAGGAAACTTTTCACCTAGCTATGTCAAAAACTAATGTCTAACACAAACTTGTGTTAAATCCCAAACTCAAAAAAACGAACAGTAGTTATGAATGTAAATAATGTACTGTATAACATAAACTTAATACACCTAGTATAAGTAAAGAGAGTGACTTTAATTACTTTGTAATTGTCTCACGTCTATCATGCTATTTTAAATGTTTATTGGTAATTATTTTAATTCTATTTCTAACACAAATTGTATTAATTACTCTATGACAAAATAAATACTTATACCAAGTCATAAGTAATAATTGTTTAGTTGGTATTGAGAAACTACCTAATCAATAATGTTGAATAAAAGAACTGAAATTGAAAGTGGCAAATGCTAACTTATGTCCGATTGTAATCTTAACAGTCTTATATATATATCAATATATCAAATGGGGCACCTAATACAGGTATGTATTATGCTTTAGCCAGACTCTTGGATGACTATGATAATGGTTAACTACCAAATAGTGATAGTGTTTGGCAAACAAACTACTTTAAAATAGGACAAGTCGCTGTCCAGCAGGTTATAAGTGACTGTTACCTGAGAGCCTCAAGACGACTTATGGCGACAGTTGGTCGACATTGGTCCTGCGATGGCAAATCGAAACATATTCGCTGACGAGACTCGGCGAAGTCGGGCAAGGACTGTAACAGCAAACATCTATCGATGCGCTGCGACAAACGGAGACGCGTATTACTTTTCAGATACTTTGGCGGTTGCAACTTCTGTGACGGCGTCGGGCAAACGGATGCTGTACGGGACAAGTAAACCTCGGCGGCGCCGGGCGACAATGACGACGCTACGAGACGAATAATAATAATAATAATAATAATAATAATAATAATAACAACGTGAATACGAGATGAAGTGCGGGTGCGTGCGTGCGTGTGATATGATATTATAATCACGAATTTACGAAACGGCCTCGCGGCTCGCGGCGCACAGCGGTTCGTCGGTGGCTGGCGAGAACGGTGTTATGGTGTAGTGGTAGAGGCACACCGCATCTTCGAGAGCCGGTCGCATGACTGGTCCGGTCGAAGAAGGAGGGGGAATCTCTGTAACGGGCAATGAAGGTCGGAGGGGCCGCGTGCAGGTAAGCTCTAAAGTATATATTATATGGATACAATATTATACATTGTGAATTTTTTTTGTAGTAATGACAACAGCGGCGGCTATTGAAAATACGATACACTCGCGCACGCGCAGAACCACGAATAATAGCCTGCAGTTACACGCTCACGCACACGGTAACGATAACAAAGAACGCGGCGGGCAGGTGGCTCGTTTTGCTGAGCCGCCAGCGACGACTACTGCCGGACCAATGTGACCAACTAGACAATCTGGCGTTTGTGGTTGGCACCCTCGCGCTCACGAAATATAATGAATACAATAAAATAAATAATACTACTATTTTGATTTCGATAAATATTTTATAATATTTTGGTTAGAAATTTTACTTAGTGATCAAGTTTTATCTTGCTTTTAAATTTAAAATAGACTTTTCTCAAGAGAACACTGTACCTGCATATAACCTGCATATATACCTGTTAGAAGTATTTTAAATTTTACAAACAATTTACAATTTTCAAATACTCATAACTCTCTTTAAAATTAAAATATAATAAAAGGGCCATGAGAAGCCCTCCGTAATAATCTTACCTTTAATTTTAATAAGAGGTCAATTCACTCTAATTTTTAAGCTAACTGAGCTTAATGTGATCTAGTGATCTGCTGAACGTAAAATTTGATATGTTACGCTCTTGTAAGATGGAGACAACACATGCGGGTATAGCGTCCTCAGAAAGACTTATATTTTTCAGTAACAACCTACAAGGGCGTCTGCAGAAATTTGTCAAGGGAAGGACAAAATATTTTCATTTTTCAATTTTTATTGCACTATTTAGCTAGTGATTAAGAGGACGCTACACCCGCGTGTGTTGTCTCCGTCTTACTAACGTATAGAACATATCAAAAACTGTTTTGCGTGAAATAGAACCACTCAAGCTGTAGTCCAAGCTAAGCAACCTAATTTTCACACTATAAACAAGAGAACATTTACTGTGCAACATCGTTTTTATTTTTTCGATATCATAAAGACTAGAAAAATTCTTATTGCTTATAAATTAATTATTTCAAACTTGAATAACATTTCTTGTATTCGTGATATCGAAAAAATTAAAACTATGTTGCACAGTAAATGTTTGAAATGTTGTTTAAAATGTGAAAATTTGGTTGCTTAGCTTGGACTACAGCTTGAGTGGTTCTATTTCGCACAAAACAGTTTTTGATATGTTGTGCGTTTGTAAGACGGAGACAACACACGCGGGTGTAGCATTATCGTAGTATAATCCTATACATCCTAAAGGCTAAAGTATTATTTGTGACATGTTTTCTTTCATACTGGTAGGGAACGTAAAAATTATTTATGAATTATAGTACCCATGTAGATAGTTAAAGCTTAATCTTACATAATTAATTTTAATTATTTAAAATGCAGCTTTGAATTAAGAAATGCATTTTTTTTATAAATAAAATGTCACCATTGGTTTAATAATTTTTAGTTATTTATAGAATAAAATGTTCAAGCTTCTATAAAATAAATATAATGCCTAGTTGTTAAAGTAAAGACACCATCAAATTATTTTAATATTTTGAGAACTTACCAAAGTCTAAAACAATTAAATATAGTTACCTATCAATAGCCAGAGCGTTGCTAAGTATAATTTTCAAAACAAACTACTAAACTAATCACCAGTTATGAAAGAAAACTAGAAAACAACCAAAAATAATGATAAAAAAGTTAGTTTATTTTTATTAGGTAATTGGTTAATACCAATCGGTTCCACTAATTTAATATTAATAATTATTATACCTGCAGTTGGCAGTTGCAGCCAGCAACTGTATCATAAAATAATAATCTTTAAAATAACAAATTTGAAGAGAACAAATTGGTGTTATTTTATATTACATAATGATTATGATGACTGACCAAAAAAAAACCGAGGGAAGGACAACTACCCCTGCTTGACCCCCCTGTAGACGCCTTTGACAACGTAACATAGTTCTAAAAATAATACGTATATTATACTTGACTAAAGGTAAATGAGGGGTAGCTGTAGGTAATTATTTTAATATGGCCAAACGTTTTTAATACAATTTATTCCAGTGATTAGGATAAATCAATTTTAAACTGGTGCACGCTTTAGAAGTTTAGACAAGAAATCTTAAAATGTTGGTAAAACATTCTGTGCATTTGTCTATTTCATTTACTTCAAATACAAAATCGAATAATTATTGGATTAATATCAATACAGTGATGAGTCAAATATGTACCGATAATAACAACTCGGATAAATCGCTGATAGAAGATTGCGATGAAAATGTGAAAATAATTGATAGGTATATCGTATATATCAACAATACTTGTATGATGATCATAAGCGTAATCTGGGTAAATTCTTGTAATTAATTTGAAAATCTATAAGGTAAAAAGACACTATTTCTCCCCTCTCAGGTTACACCTATGAGCTATGGAGATGATATTATACGTTTTCCGAACCATTTTATCTGATTATTAAGTACAGTTATAATAGTTATATGGATGTATTTTATATACCTACTAAGTACTAACAACCCAGCAGTTGTATAAATACAAAATATTATAAATATTTAGAATAGATTAACTACAAAATAAGAAACCCGAAAAGAAATTTTGAGTGTACTTATGTCATAAACAGGGAATTATAAAAAGATTTTTCTTTGAAAAAAAAAAGTGCATAAAACGAACACATTCTTTAAAAAACGAATTTTCAAAATATTTTTAGTATTATACTAGACCTACCTAACAAATAATACTATTTTTTGTACAACATGTAAAACAATTGTGACGAAAATGTTTGGTAATTTATTAAGGTATGTATAATATACAAGCTAAGCAAAAAAATCTTCACACTATAAAAAGGAGAACATTGACTGTACAACGTTGTTTTTAATTTTTTGACTTCACAAATACCAAAAAAGTTCCTAATGTTTAAAAATTCTTTATTTTTGAGTTTTTTAAACATGAATAACTTTTGTTTAGAGTTATTTTGACTAGGACATATAATATGTACGTAATTGCATATTGTGTTGTGCTAGTGTAAACCATTCAATGTATCATTTTATTTGAGATAGTGTATCAAAACGGGCTTAAAATTTAAATGTACCTAGATAATATTTTTGTTCAATAACAATGAACTTATAAGTAATAGGTAAATATATATTGAAGTGTATGATTAAATTTGACAAACTTAATTACTCAAAAACATAGTTACCTAGGTAGGTACTAACTTATTTCATATTTTTAAAAATTATTTATTGATTTAAAAAACTATATTTAAATCATTTTATTCGGGATCCCAGAGAAAATTACCGATCATATACTTAATTGTATAAATAATACGTTAGGTATTAAAATTGTTTGTTTTGTCCAATTTGTTAACCTATGAGTATCCGAGTTTAGAGTTATAACCACAGTATATATATGTTTAATGACTTAGGTATAAGTGAACATGCGTTCTTTAATTTCTTTTTGTATTAAACAGGTTAGATTTTATTAAAATAGTTTAAATTCATTTGTACTTACCAACTACTAAGTACCTAGATAAAAAAAAATATTACCTGTGGATTTTGCTACCAATATACGGCAATACATATATAGTCGCATAGACTCATAATTGTGTGGATCTTAACAACTTAATAATAATTTAGGAATACCTACATTTGTTAAGTAATTAGATACGATGTACCTCGTAAATAAATATAATACTATATTTATAGTATCTGTACTCTGTAGGTTTAAGTAAAATATTTGTTTTGTCGGAATTCGGCGTCGTGTGTGTAAAGGCTGTAGAACATAGGTACCTATTTTTTTGTCATCCTCTCGTGGACGAACATTTTTGCTCAGTCTACCTATGCGGTTTATGAGAAAAACGCATTAGTTATTTTATTCTGATACAACTTTTTAATTATATTCTTTTCTTTTCAGTGGTCATCGACCATGACCATTATTTTTATTGAACCCACCCTACATGGCGTGGGTATGACGTGTGAATGAGATTAAATACTAAATAACATTATTATATCTGAATAACCATAATAATAATCTTAAAAACACTAATACACGTAGTAATGAAAGAAGCCCAGACACTCAGAAAATTATATTTAGTATTAGGTACCCAGTAGGTAGGTACTTGGTAGTTATATTAAACATATTTGCCCCTGCCACTTGGCAATAGACTACCTATATACACGTCCTACACGGTATTCGGAACATCGTAATATATATTATTTTTTATTACTCTATTATATGCATCTAGTATAGATACGTACTTTCTAAAAACTAATTTACATAGTTTGGATCGTCAATCATCTATAAAAATATGAAATAAATGAACATCGAAGTCGATGTTATTTTATTAATTTTTTTGCTTATTCGTTATTTTTTTTTTGTACAATGTTTAAGCCTGAAGCTCGCATATTTTTTCCGGATACGTAGAATGTATAGATGATGTCACCACAAATAGGTTACAAATATCTGAGTATAATAATAACATGAATAAAAATTAATATTATAATAATCTTAATTATTATATTATTATCATAATCATAATCGCCTTTTCAGACGTTTTTGAGGACGATGATACATACCGTACAGCTGTACCTCTTACGACTTACCATTTACCTTATAATTATCACTTTACCTGTATTATCAAAAACCATTTTTTCCATTTTCACCATTGAGTCGAACCAACCTATTGGCTATTATATTATGTATCAGAATATTATTATTATTATTGCAGGCAACCGTTTGTTAGACACGGGCGACGATGTACAGTCATAATTAAATTATTATATTTGTTTAAATGTGCCATACGCAGAGTCCGAATATGGGATGTCCCCCCCCCCCGGACAAAAAAAAATAAATATTAAACAACAATAATATACAATGCAAATAAATAAATGTACAAATGATTAAATTATTGTATAAATATAATGAATATAATAATATAAAAATATAATAAATGTAATTGTATTACTGTATATTTTTATTGTTTTATTCTGGTAAGAAAGCTCACTGAAATTAAACAATTTTAAATATCATCATTTGAAAAACTTTTACATAACTTTTTTAACCTATCATCTTTACCTAAATTATTACGAAAAGCTCCTGCTCTATAATTTAAAATTTTGATTGATGCACTTGAGTAGCTCATCTGTAGAGCTTCAATAAAAAGCCAAATATTTGGATGATAAATTCGCACTAGTGTTGTAAATTTATTATTCCACCCTTCCGAAATATTATTTGTTCTACCTATACCAGCTTTAGTCAACTTAAAAACGTTCCATATGGAAGGTGGAAATAACGGAGGTGTTCTGGTAAGAATGTACTTTAATTCTACATTTTTTTTATTTCTATAACGACCGTTAACATAAGTAGTATCAAAGTACGTAAGAATTTGATCAGCATCTTGGTTATGAAATTTTTCATATAAAATTTCCATACCTAAAACACAACCACAATCTATATGATTATATCAACCTATTTATGAACAAAAATAGTTATTATTCATAAAATGGCGATATGATACAATGATATTATAATATGATGATGTATATTTCGGGTAAATCCAAAGAACCTATTTTCAAACCTATTATTATGTGTAAAAAAAAGGTACATTGAGTCGGGGGGAAACGTCTCAGTCTGGGGGGGAAACGTCCAGTGCCATTAAGATTCTAGGGGGGAACGTCCTGGTACCGCAGAGTCCATGGGATAGAGGATTCAGTTGTGTATAATATTATTATTATATTATGAAGAGGGAGAGGATCCTATAGTGTAGGATTGTACTTTCGATCATACATTCATGCTATACGCATTACGTACCTAAAACTTGTATATTACCAAAATGTCACATACTATTTTGAAATTTTAACTGTCCAACTCACTACGTCTTATCAGTGGCGTCGAAAGTCAAACCCTATGTTAATGGGGAGGTCACCCTATATCAGGTTTAGGCCTGATCATTATTAGATTCTGGGCGAAGCAATGAATTTATTGATTTACATTTCACAGTAATGTGTGTTTGTTGTGTAATACAAATATATATAATATTCAAAATACAAGAAAAGTAATTAAATGTTTTGATTTTCAACTTTGAAGATGGTTTCTGATAGAAAATTGGATCTAGATAATACTTTTGAAAAGGTCAAATTTTAAAATTCCCAGTATTTTTCAAAATAATCAGCAAAAACAAAAAATAAATAAAAAAAGGTAAACAATTTTACGTAAAACCAGTTTTTGGCAAAATCAATATTGTTTAACAACTAAAAAACGAATAACCTTGTAGATACTTGACATTTTTGTCAAATAGTAGGTGTAAAATTTTCTGCGTGTAATAATTGATAATATTTTTTAAATATTTTGAGCCATTTATAGACATTTACATTTTTTAGATTCTGAGCGTAGCGAATGTATTCATTTTACTATGATGAATTTTATTTGTTTTTTTTTAATTATATCAGATAAAAAAATGTTCATACTATAACCGAAATATTTAAATACAAACGAACACAGAAATTTTGTATAGACATTATAAGTACAAATTTAGACGAAGTTATATATTAAAACCAGGAAAAACGATTTTAGTTATTTTGTTGTGATTTAAAAAAACTTTTCGTGGAATCTTGAGTACTGGAGACTTTTAGAGTCAATACCTACAGGTTCCTATTATTGTTAATTATTTTAAATGTATAATGTAGAACTTATTTGTCCTTACAATATATAATTTATTTCAGCATTTTACAGTTTTAAATTTTAATGACATAAATTAAGATCATAATGTTATTTAGTCTTTTATTGGAAAGTACCTTTTAATGCACTATTTCTTGATTTTTAGTGCATTTGAGACCTAGACATAATATTACTAGGGCCCTGTAGATTATAAATAGAGCCTTAATATTACCTGTTAGTTGTTATAATAATGTATTGTGTTTATATGTTTAGTTTAATAATTAGTGACATTACAATTAATACCTAAATAGTAAATAGGCCATTACCCATAAGAGAAATGAGAACGAGCTAGTCATTTTCCTCCAAAATAAAAAAGGTTTGATTCCATTTTCCTCCAAACATTAAAATCTATAGCCGATATTCTTTTAAAAAAAAACTAAATATATTTATGTAGCTCAATATTGTAAGACGAATTCAAACATATATTGTATGCAAAATAAGAAGTATTCATATTCCAAAATATCTAGACTACCGAACAAACAAACGGTGTGAAGAAATCGACAATGGATTCATTAAATTTCAAATTAAAATAATTATTTATCCGTCTCAGAATTATTTTCTTTAGGCAGGTATTCATTTTTTGCTGAAATGTCGTAAAATTATAAATAAAATATGGGTAGGTACATACGTTTTTTAAAAATGTTTATTTTTTACAAGTTATAATAAGCATCGAATATAGTGAACTAGGTACTTGAAAGAATGAATATGTTTAGAAAAATGTAAGGTATTTTACCAAACATTCCTGGTCTAGATGAAAAAAAAGAGAGACGAATTTATGCATGTACCTAATTGAAAAAAATGAAGTGTATAAAACTACTAAATCTTCTTCTGAAGTCATGTCAGGTAAAAATTATGTTAAGTTAGATAAAATGCCTACCTTATAGAATTTTTTTTAATATGCATCAATAACTAGTGTAGATGTAGAACGTAGTTTTTATTTGTAAAAACATATTTTATTTATTAGAAGATTTAATTTCAATGAACATAATTTGGAAATGTATCTAATTATCAAGTTTAATTAACAAAAGTAACATTTATCTAATTTGTTATATAACTTTTAAACTTGTGCAATGCAATTTGTTATGCAATTCTTACAATTATTCAATTTTAATATGCAATTGTTGAGTGTTTTCAATGCAATTAAATCTGGTCTTTAGTTATAACTATTTAAATAACTATTATCTTTGAGTTAAACTTAATATTATTTTTATTAATTCCTTGAAGGAAATTGGTCCAGATTTATTTTTTTTGGAATTGGAGGAGGAAATGGCTACAGCCATGAGAAACGAGTAACAGACAGTAAGCTGATAATAGTTTATTAAGCCACTATATGTTTATATATTTATAGTTTATACTAATATAATACAAAATAGTCAATCAACAGTATTGCCCAAACGGCTAAACGTGAAGCGTCACACGGTACACGACGTTGGCTTCAATATATTTGAGCATGTCGTGTCTATCACAATTTACAATTAAACCTGCGTCCAATACTACGACATCGTTGATTCATTACATAAATCGACGAAACGTTGCCCATTTAACCATGGAACGTTTCACCCACGGAGGTAGTTTGCTATCACGGAGCCGCTAAATTTGGTGATAACGGTTTTTAATATTGTGTACCCGATAGCCACTACTCACCAGCGTCTCGTCGTTTCGAAGTCATAGATATTGTGAAATTAGTAAATACTAAGTATCCTCATTGATCGATTTGGTGACAGAAACTTGTTTGATTTAACCGTTATCGTTTGACATGTCGAAAAAGAACATCGTGTTCGTTACAGGCAATGTCAAAAAGTTGGAAGAAGTGATGCAAATGTTTAATAATTTTTACAAAGATTCCGTTCCTTTTGACGTGAGTTTTAAAGTTATAAAACATGACCTCGTTACTGTCTTGAGACCTACTTATTTATTTTATTGCAGTTGTCTAATAGGAACATTGACTTGCCTGAACATCAAGGGGAACGTGACGAAATATGCAAATTGAAAGCTCGGGCGGCTTTTGATATTATAAAGGGTCCTTGCATTGTTGAAGATACTAGTCTGTGCTTCAACGCTATCGGTGGATTGCCAGGTAGTTGAGCTACTTGTATTTGTGAGTTTGTCATTATTTGTGATTGATATTTTCACCATGCTATTTTTCTAGGTCCATATATCAAATGGTTTTTAAAAGCAACCGGTCCTATAGGTTTATATCGTATGCTCAAAGGATTTGAAGATAAAACCGCCATGGCTGTATGTACAGTTGCTTATGTTAACGAACAGGGTGAAGTGAACATTTTTAGTGGTGAAACTGATGGTACAATTATAGAGCCAACCGCAATTGAAACTTTTGGATGGGACTCTTGTTTTAAACCGAATGGATATGAGATAACATATGCAGAAATGCCTAAAGAACAAAAGAACCTAATATCACACAGAATGAAGGCAATGTATAAATTAAAAGAGTTTCTCGACCACAATGTAATTATATAAAAAAATGTACACATTTAATTTTATTTTTTAAATAAATATTGTTTAAGTACCTTATTAAAAATGTAGTTATATTATATCATCACTCTACATTTGTTTTATTAAGAATGGGTTACTAAAATATATATTTGTTGAATGGATATTAAATACTTGAAATCATAAATTGGCTCGAAGAATGTATATTTTTTATTAAATAAAATTATGATTTATTGTGTTAAAATATTAAAGAATAGTTGGAGATACAAATGTTTAGGTAATGATTTTTCTTACCATAGTTGTTAATGAAATCTAATGGTACTAATGAGTTACAGTATATCTACGAAGAACTAATAAAGTATGCAATAATATTACTGATTAATTAATAAAAATTTAAATTGAATTTTCTAACTTACAAGGGTATTTAGTCATTTTTAATTCTACCTCCATGATTATAAATTTCACAATTTTTTTGATAGTAAAAATTATTTTCAACTCATAGTTAACATTTACATCTTTATACCTTATATACACAGTATTCTGTGATTAAAAATGGTTATTTTATCTGTTCATGCTAAATAAAAACATTATATCAATCCGCTATCTACTAAATTTTGAATTTGAATTATTCAAACATTATTTCTGTTTTGTTATTATTGTAAAAACTAAAATTATATTTGTCATGTCTTTTGAAGTTATTATTCAATATTAATATAATTTAAATATTTTACGTAATATGTATCTTGTATATATTATCTATGCTTCAATCAAGTGATTTTTCTTTTTTTTAAATAACTAGACATTTCTAATGATAATGGCGATTTTAATATTGGTTTCAAAAGAGCTTCAGATGTTCATGATAAACTTTAATTTTGAAGATTTGTACATTTTATTTATACACTGAGGGATTACAAAAAGTATACTTCAAAAGTAATAATTAGGAGTATAACATTTATTATATTTAACTACTCGTATATTATAGCGTTATTTTTAATTTTAGAAATATCGTGATTTGGGTTAGCAACACATTTTGTTCATACCTATTGCCTAGTGTCACACAGATCCAAACTACTTACCGACACCATAGCGTTGACTTAGTTCTACTAGGCCAAGGAAAATAATTCAAAATTAACGAAGTGTTAAACATCTCCCAGGCTGCGATAATTATTGTGGAGTTTAGCTTAAGACTGAAAACATATTGTACGAGTACCTAACCTGTCAGTTTGGTATGGACAATTAATAGCCTTATGCACTTATGCATACAGTACTGTACTGCCATGCGTACAAGTCATCAAGTCATCAAAAAGTAGATGAGTGATAATATACAGTATGTTTTCCCAGCCTACCGATATCACTTGAATTTTTTAAAAACTTTTAAGGAAATATTTTCTAAAGAATTTGTTAACAGGTACAACATGAAAATAAAAATTTATTCACATTATCAAAATAGTGTGGGGGCTGATAAGCATTTTTCCAAGAACCCTCACCAGTAGTCAAAAAAAAATTAATGTGTAAATATTTGGGAAATAATTTGTATGATCACTCATTCAGGTTTCAAGGTATAACATTTGATATTTTTCAGGCTTACCCAAAAACTAAAATAACTCGGCAAAATTGTTTACACAAGTATTTTTTACGTGATCTGAACGGATTACGTTTAATACATGTTTTTATCTAATAAAGGATTTTGCAAAAATGTTGTGAGTGGTCGTATGAATTATTACTACATTTTCGCATAAAAAATCTAAGTATCATAGCATCATTTTTTTGGAATAAGACAAAGTACTTGTTCTTTCGTCAAATTTTAATACCCCCTGCAAAAAATTCACTTAATAGCAAAATCTAGCAAATTAATCTAAATAAATTAACATATTTTTTTTGGAATCTGGCAAAGTACCAAATTTTAAACCCCGCTCGAAAGTAACATGGATCTCTGCATGATTCAAACATGTCCTAGCAAAATCAGATGTACAATATAAGAACTTTTGTCTTTTTTTTCTGAGTAATTATGGATAATATATAAAGTTTGATATAAGCCTAGTACGGATTGAAAAGAATTTGAAAGGATCCATAATAACAATAAAGAATACAACATTTTTAAAATTGATTTCCCATACATTTAATTTGGTTAAATAGTAATAAATAAAAACAATTAATTTTTTATAGAAATATAATTAAAATAACAAAACTGTATCGTTTAAAAAGTTATTTTCATTCATAAACAATAGTAAAAGCTACATTTATCCATTGCAACTATTTACACTAACAAATTTTTGTTTATTTGAACACTAATAATAAGTTCTTTGGCAACATTAACTATATCGAAAATTTAAGATCTATCATTAACTAGTAATGTTATATAATATTTTATACTTATGTTTTTGTTCAAGTTTACCATTTAAAAATTCATTACACACATACATTTATGATATTATTTAGTTTGTGAATACAAATGTAAATTATTTATAAATTTAAATTTACTGAGGGTTCATCTACCTACAATTTGGCATTTCATTCTGTATATCGAAAATGATAAATGTAACAATAATATAATTTGTTTGTAATTTAAATATTTAGTTAAATAATATTTTAATTTTACTTTTTGATTGGGCATAATATGATCCTGTGTATAATTCCTTAAATCTTAAATATTAAGCAATTTTTCAGAATTGTAAGTTACCTATAATAATAAATTGTTTCTCCCTGTAATTCAACTTTATATTATAGGTAATATTTTGTTACATTTTGTAATTCTTGGTATTCTGAAAAAATAGAAATGGTTAGAACAATATTATTGTACATTATAAATTTAAGTGTTGAGCCAACAGTTTTGTGAAAATTACAGTTCTCGTGTAATGAAATATTAATTGGCATAATAAAAATAATTATAATGGTTTTCCAATTAAAATGGTACAATATAAATAGATACACATACAATTTGTTACAACAATAAGCATCAGATCAATTCATTGAGTTTACAACTGTTCATTAAGACATAGAAATAATAAAATTGAACAAATCAAAAACATATATTAGTATGTAATACATACTAGAATTATAATAAAATAATGTTCCTAACATACTAGAACCTGATTGTGCTATTTTAAGTAAAACACATTAAGTTTAATAAATGAGAAAGAGAATAGTAGACAAAACATTTGGATAGATATAGAAAGAAAATTAAAAGTAATAAAAAATTGTTCTATAGGGAATGTAAATGAAGTGATACACAAGCAATTTAACCTTGGTTTAAAAGCCTAACATTGCTTTTATAAACTTTTCCTTTTTGAATTTTTTTACCAATAAAATAGTTTGAACCGATGTCGGAATTTACATCAATACTAATGATCTGTTAAAAGAAAAAAAATCATTATACATATATATTAACAATTGAAAACAGAATACATATAAATGAGTAATGTAGTTAGTTACATTTTTGGTATTATTGTAAATTAACTTAAATTTCAAACTTTTGTTATTATCATGAAAAATGTAAATATAAATAATGAATACTAGTGTTTATACACTTGAGTAACTTACTTCTCCTGCACTTAATCTTAAATCATTAGCATCTCGTGGTTCTTGACTAGTAATAACTTTTGCTTGTTGTATACGTCCCAACGCCGGAGTATCAGGAGATAATGTTGCAACATTGTCTTGGTCTGATGGAAATCTAAAAATTAAAATGGCTATTATAATAACAAAAAAAATCTATACATGTATTTATTGTATATTGTACTAGTGACGTGCTTATGGGTGGGGGGGGAGGGGGTGGACGAAAGTGGTATATATCTTATTTTTGTCGTATAAAATATGTGATATACCATCAAATGTATATATAACGGGCAGGCCTCGGAATAGTAAAAAATTCATATCGCCTATTTCAAAAAAGCAGAGCACTACACTATATTATATTGTAATCAAAATCAACCACCAAAACTTAAATGGATCAATATTTGCTAAGTGTGGGTAGAGTTCTTCCAAATAATCTGCAAATTACTTGATTTTTTTTAACCTACCCAGAAAGATCTGATTGAAGGCTCATTAAAGACTCATGACATTTTAAATAAAAAGCCGCTTGTGTATCGACAAAATCTAATAAGTGTTGCAAATGTTGAGGATGTGCACTAGGAACACCTTCCATCAAAAGTTTGGTAATTTCCGCCTGACGATCATACTCTTCTTGAGCTACCTTGAGATCATGTTCAGCCTAGAACAACAATAATAGCATTATAAATTAGAAAAAACTAGAACTAATATGAGTAAATAATATCAGCATAACTACATAGCAAACATAAAAAATTAAAAAGTAAACAGATTCAGCTAAAAATTAATTCCTTGTTTTACCTTATCTATTAACTCTTCCATAGTAGGACCAGAGTCATCTTGCTGCATAAAAATATTTAAATATCCATTTAACCATACTTAATTAAATTATTAATTAATAATATAATATACCTTAACTTTAGTTGTTGCAAGCATTCTGGTCTTGCGCACTCGAGTTTTGCAAGCATCTAAGTCAAGTCTACATATTATATAAAATTAGTCAACTTAACAGGCATTCAAGCGTAACAATTATTAATTATTAATGTTATATATAAATTTGCCTTCTTTTTTCCAATAGTGATCGTTCTTTGACAACAGTTTTCATGTCAGTTTCTAAATATTTATTCATTGGGTTCACAAAGCAGTCATTGGCTGATTTAATAAATTCTCTTTGATTGAGTCCCAGTGTTTGCTGTATATTTCCAACTTTTATAAGTGCACTACCTAAAGTTAATCAAATATTGAAAACACATTTTTTATTTAAAAATAATACTTTACCGTAAGCTGTGTCTGGTCCAAAATCGTTTCCAGCTTCTGTCATGGCAATTCCTAAATATTCTGAGCTGCTGAGTCCAGATTTTTTCTTGTCTAAGAAAAAAAGATTTTCCACCCTCATGCCTAAAAAAATTAATATTGGTAAATACAAAAAGCATAGTTGATTGTAATTTAAGATTAAAGAAAAACTACCAGGATTAGAATTTAAAATAAATTCCATATTCTTCAATATAGATTCAGTGTTCTGTTTTGTGTTATCACAAAAAGTAACTAGTTGTTCAAAATTTGGATCTTGTTCTGTTTTTTCCGCTTTACCCAATTTTTCTTCTGTGAACTAAACATCACAATTTTTAAAAGTTGGCTCAGTATTAATACATATTTATACTAACATATAAAGAAGAACAATTTTTCGATTGTTTGGGGTAATCTCTGGAATTGCTTAACGAATTAAAAAAAAAAAATTCCCATCAGAATGCTACACTATCTAAAGGATCTATAGCCTAAAAATAATAATATATTTTTGTTTATTATAGGATTGCTATTGCTTACAAAATTAAGAATAGATAAACAAGAAATCAGCAATTGGTTATTAGATACCAATTTTAAAAACTTTTTCACCTATACAAAGGTAAAAATGTAAAAAAAAAATAATATGATCGAGTATAATTTAAGACTTGTATTTTCTATGACTGTGGTAAAAATCTGTAATGGAGATTGTGATGGGGTTAGTCCAAGGGAATTTATCACCAGAAGTTTTGAATATCAGTATGCCGGGTATTAAGTGATGAATTGAACACAAATTATGAATCATATAGAGTTGGTATTATTATAACGAGCAACAAAGTGCATGGTATCACTAGTAAATAATAATCTAGATATTTACAACATGTTATACAAATATACCGGAAGAAATAAAATATAAAACAAGTTCCCACTTCTATGTATATTAATAAAATACAGTTAATTTATATAAAGAGCAAGAGATATTAAATTTAAAATCATTATACACAAAGAACATTAGTCTAGTATTTTATAATATGAAAAATGTATTGATATTCCATGTCATAATTACAATGCTGTAAGGTCAACACTAATGTCATCGTCTCTAAAATGAATATAGTATATCAAATTCAATTGTGTGTTGTATATAATTTTAAGTTTCAAAATGTATAAAAAATATATGAATAATGTTTTGTTTCAATTATCTTTATTTTTAGTTTATTTTTTTCTCTTTCCTATATTAATAGTTAAAATTATATAAATACATTACTATTATATAAAATGCAAATCATATTAAATTGTCAAGCTCTACATCAGAATATAAGTAACATAATAGGTTAAACTTAAATTATTTTGTACTTAAACTAATCTAACCATCCAATAACATATTTAACTACTTATTGTTCCAATAAATTTCCTATTTTGTTCTATTTTTCGTTTTCTTTATTGTGAATAATTATTATTAACCAATAATAAAAACTGTGTCACAAACTCCCTCTTTTCAGCACGAGCTCTGCTTTTGAAAAGAAAACCAATGTATAATATTAATGTATCTTCTTTGTAACATTTATGTTATTTAAAATATTTTAATTTGGTATCAAATAAATATTATTATTATGATTACTATTATTATTAAAATGTATTATCTTTAAGACATAATTTATTTGCTTTAAGTATCAAAATAGAATCTATCTCCTAAAACACAATGATTTTAATCTTAAACACATTTACCGCACTTGGTTGACAATTGAAATATAATACTGTACAATATGTATAAAAGAATAAAACTACCTCACATTTTTTAAGTATACTAGTAGAAAATACTTATATAAAATAGAAATACTTAGTTGAATATGAAAATGTAAAATGGACAATATTACATTTTACAATCAAGTTTTTATTTTAATTTTAAACATCGATTTAGGAGGTAAAATCATTTAACTATCAAGGATTAACTTTATCAAAATTTAGATGTAAAAAACAACAAATAAGGCAAATAAGTGGGTACCGCCCGCTCTGTTGTACATTAGGTGTTTTATGGGCAGGGTTGGGTAGTTATATGGAGTATGGAGTATCTTGTATCGTAATACATTTTTAGACAATGTATCGAGTATTTCACAAAATAATTTTGTCAAAAAATACTCGATACTAATGCAATACTTTAAAAAATTAATTTTTTTAGGATTATTTTTACTTGCCTATCTACCAACCGCGACTGTTTGACTATGTTTTAGTATAATACTATAATATGAGCGATGAATTTTAATTTATAAATCAATAATTTAATTGCAGTACAACTTGTATAAAAATTATTTTTCAACCTTTTATTCATATTAAGTTATATCTGTGTACTGTGACGTACTACACAAACACGTTGAATGAGACTTTACGTCTTAACCGTACGTTTTTTGTCGTGTCATATACCATTTGATATATCTATAATTAATTGTTATTATTATTTATTTATTTAATTTAACAATTGATTTATTATAATATATTTATACTTAACTAACATTTGGAAATTTAAAGTTAAATGCATTTGTCTAGACTCACAACCTACCTTGGGTATAAGAAAATAAAATTTAAAAAAATCCTATGTGCCATAGGCTATGACTAATTTTTTCAAATGCATCAAGTATCTAAATATTTAAAATGTAAGTATCAAGTATTGAGTATCTCGGTACTCCAAATCCAAGTATCTAGTAAATAGATTACAAAAAAACTAAAAAATATTTTGAAAATTCTTCCATACATGGAAAATTGTCCTATAAATATTCGGCGAAAATTTAAAGTATCTATGGTTGTGAGTTTTTGAGTAACATCAAAAAAACTAAATCGGTTTTAAACTGGTTTGAAAAAAACCTCACTCTTTTTATTTTATTATTATTTTAATTTTCCCTAAGCTATAGAAAACTAATAAGAATTGTTTTATTTTTGTAGCAACTAAATTCACTATCCTACCAGATAAAGGATGAAGTAGAAAACCAAAGCATTTTTACTGCTCTAAATGTGATAGATAAAAATACGCAAAAAATAAAATACTTAAATTATTGTAAAACAATATAAAAAAATGATGTATCATTGCATACAAAAAATGATTCTAAGCAAAGATGATCTGTCAGCTAATATCAACAAGTATATTTCATAAAATTGTTTTTTTATATATATTTATTAAAGTTATTTTATTTATTTTACTAATAGTATAACAATAAGTTGATTTAATTTTTGATAAAACATTTATTATATTATTAATATTTAATTAGGTACCTATTACCTATAATACTATATAATTAAATCATTTTTTATTGTCATTAGCTTTTGCGTCAATAACAACTATCTTCCTGTAGAGCCATGTAAATAGGTGTGTAGTATAAATAGGCTTTAGTTTAACATTTATATACATAATAAAAATTGTTATTCTTGGTTTAAATATCCAATTTTCTCCAAATTTTAAATTCAAATGTCTAAAAAAATTGTGTATATTTTTTTAGATACCAGTAATAACTATTTAGATTAACTACTTATAAAAAATATTTGTGGAATTTTGATCAAATTTTTTATTTTTTATTCCAGTAATAAAAACTTGTAAGTAACATTTTATTACACTTTAAGCTTTTTTACAAAGCAAAAAATGTTATATTCAACATTTAGAGAAAAAAATGTTTATTTAGTATGAGAAAGTTTAAAGTTTTCTATAGTAAGTATTGTATTTGGAGATTATTGTTAAGTTATTTTGCTATTATAATTATTATTATTAACCAATCATAATCATGTATTCATGTCATTACTGAAATGGTTTTGCAATATCTTTTTTAAATTTTAACTTAATAGGTATACCTAAAACTAGTATATATTGATAAGTAAGAAAACCACTGGATTGTTATTTAAATGTAACTAATATTTATTGACAAATACTCTGTTTCAAAAGAGAACAATTGGTTGGCTGATTTAAGTCTGGGCATCTCCTACCAACTCCTCAGTGTTAGCATGATCATGTGGTTCTCGACTGCAGTCACAATGTCTTTTTAATCCAATAAATGAAAAAAAATGAAAGCAATCAACTAAATAATGGTTTACGGCTGTAGGGACTATGGACATTTGAATTATTTTGGCAACACAATGACCTTTTGAAGTACTGATATTTCATAGTAAACAACGTGATAAAAAGACAATTTTGGTAGTTATTTTAAGAAAAGTTAGACCGGGAAAATTAATAGTAATCAGTGGAGGCCATAGGTCAGATTACATGAATACAGATTTACACTTAACAGGAGCATATTAGGTAGAAAGAAAAATATTAATAATATATAAATAATAACTAGTGGAGGGTCAGAAGCCTCAAATTTGACGCAGCTGCATCAATTTTTCAAAGGAGTTGCGGCAGTGGCCCCAAATTCTATGTTAAGGTCTATTTACTAATGAGTGAATAATACTAGTTATTAATTAGTAGGTCAATCTTGTAATCTGTAAAAATAATTATTTTGATAAAAGTTAGGTAATAAAATAATAGTTTGAATGTATTGGCGTAAGAATTTGAAAAGAATTGTATACTTTTAATGATAATTAAATTATAGTTTCATATGTTTACTGACCTAATTAGTAGTTACTAAATTATTAATTTTGATTTTAGATTCTAAAATTAACATTATAACTAACGACAAGTTTAATCATTGAATGGTAGTGCAGCAGCTGTTACTATAAATCATACCATACGATCATCAAATATTTGTCGTAACCATGTTACCAAAGTTTCAAACATTTAAGTATATTAAGTACAAAGTCCGAAAGATCAATATAGTTGTTATTATTATTATTTACTTGGACAGCTCTGCTGATCGCGGTGCCAGCGTCTCTGAATATCTGTTTTACGTTTTCCATGTCCATAACGAGCTAGGCGATGAATGTAGTGGGAAGACAATATGGACAACTGACTGACTGAGCTATCTCCTGTTAGATTGATGAGTAATTTTTATGTTTTATTGAAGATGACAAAAAAATATTACATCAGAACGCAGTAATCTCTGATGATTACCGTTGTATTCGTGCCTTCCGTGTAGCCGTGTAGGTGGTCGTTATCTCGTTGTCTCGGTTAGTCGTCATACGTTTTTTCGAAGCAACCGATACGACCGGACAGAGTGATAGCAACAGCGTAGATAATACGATTTTGCAAGTGGCGCTCTGACGTCAGTCATAAGAAATAATAATGATCAATATTTTGATTTTTAATGTACTCTTTTCCGTAGGTACTATTACAATAGGCATATTCCTTATATTCTTATAATTGTTTTTCGTATGATATCAAAATATTATTGAACTCCTGCAATGGTATTACTTAACACTTTATGATGCGAGTGAGCACAATTAAATCTAATTTTAAATTGAAAAAAAAATACTCGAATAATACAATTTAATACGATATAATACCTACATGCTACATGTAAAGCATGTGTTCAATCAAAATTTAAGACCATATGTTATGTATTAATGTAATAATGTACCTAATCAATGATTCCTCAGATTCTTGTATAATAAAACAGATTACTGTACTATTGTAGTTATAAACAAAACAATACGATATAGGTACCAAGTATATTATTATAGTATATTTTTTACTTCAGTAGACTTGGTCAAAAATTCAAAACCACGATTCCCTATAATGAAATAATAATTGTGTAGGTATATATAGTATACACCATGTAAAAATTGAACCTAACGTTTTAAGGGGATTCGATACCGTCATTTTCTGTCTTTGTCTAACACACGCTCGACATAGGATTTTTTACGTGTTTATTGCCAAAGGTACCGATTGATCTAATGAAGCGATAAGAATTCTAAAAACTGATATTGGTATGTATTTCTACTATATTAGGTAGGCTAGTGAAAATAATTGTAAACAATTAATTTTTCAAAGTATCACATTAATGTATCGAGTATCTTTCGATTAAATTATTTTATGAAATACTCGATACATTGACTGAAAATGTATCGAAACACTATAAATACTTGATATAATTGTATCAAGATATAAGATACAAGATACAATTGTATATTTGTATCCAAGATACTTGTATCGACGATACTGCCCAACCCTGTTGATAATACATTTTCGTTTTGGCGACGATTAAGGAGTGGGTATCAGTCAACAGTCAGAAAACAGTTTTCTTACGTTTTTGGGCACGGTAGTATTCTTCCTTAAACCGTAGTTTTGGGAACAAAATATGCAGTTTAGTTCTTTGTTTTTGCATACACATCACAGGCACACAGCGCTCTATTTTACCAATCCTTTCATGAATTTTGTCAAATATATCATATTATAAAGAAATAATATTTATATCAGATATTAAAATTTTAAGAAAAGTTAACGTGTGAACCTTGTGGTGACTAGACGAAAAGTATGAAATATTTAAATTTAATTAAACAAATTTAAATAATCTCAAAACAAAATTATAAGATAAAAATATAATATCTAATAGTAGGATTGAATACGTTTTTTTGTTAAGTATGTATACAAATTCTACGATAGTTAAAAATGTAACAAACTTACAAACCAAATTAATTATTAACGGAAAACCTTCGTTAAAATATAACTACTTACCATATTATATGTATAATAATATATTATGTCATTTATGTAAATTATTATTATGTATATTATTATATTATAATACAGGTATATCAGCTCCGGTCGGAAAACTCGAGGGTTAGGGGTCCAACCTATATGGTGGGAAAGTATAACAAATAGTAGGTGACTCCCTACGCCTATCGGCTCCGGTACCAAATGGACCTCTCAGTTGGATGGTTTTTTTTATTATACAGACTTATTACACAAAAAATCAATTTAAAAAAAAATTTTTTAATTTTTTTCAGTTTTATCGACACTGTAAAAGTTAGTACGGTGATAAAAATCTGATGGCTCCATTAAATTCAGCTTAAAAACCCGTTTGTTATAAAAAAAAGCATAAAAGACGTGGTTGAATATAGAGCGCCGTGTGTATTGCATAGCTAATGTAGAGTATAGACTGTAGTGATTCTCACTGACGCTTACAAAAATAAGTTCTTGAAGCTGGTGATCAGGACTTAAGAAATTCAAGAAAGACACTAAATTTTGGTAGATATTAGTTGTATGTTTAAAAATAATGGTTAAAATTTATGGATGAGTTAAAAAATTAAAAGTTAAAAATTCTGCCTAAGAAAATAGTTTTTTTGTACACAAAATTAAAATACTATACGAATACGAAAGATCAGAAGAATGGCGGTGATGTTGAAGATGAGTTTCAAATACCAAACTTAGTTTTATGTGGGCTGGTAAACTAATTCTAATTCTACTGTGGAAAGAGTCCTGTATTTATACAGAATCTTACCTAGCTTCAAGGGTGCACCGAAGGAAGGGGGGCAAAAGGAACAGTTGCTTCAGGTGGCAGGGATGACGAAAAAGTCAATAATATAATAAAAGTAAAATACTTAGGAGAATAAGAATTAGTTTTTTAAATTATAGAATGATGTCACTTGTCAGAATATCTGAAAACGTAATGGAATCTAGTATTAGAACTATTAGGTACTTATTGGGAGAGAACGCTGTTGTGGACATATGGACTTTGTTTTCGTAATATCTACGTGCAATTTTAGATTCTGAGCGGAGCAATGAATGTATTGATTTCTTGATCAACTTTTCTGATAGAAAAGTGAATCCATCACTCAGAGAAAAATACAGCATAAGTTTAATAATGTTACTCCTTTAAATTAAGTACATTCAAACATTTTAATATTAAAACAATTGTTAATAAAAGTTAATACTATTGATTTAATATTACGATATTAGCTTAAATTCAATGAATACTAAGTGTCATAAAATGAATGTTATCGTATTAATTATATTAAAATATTTTATTTAAAATAATTAATAATAAATAGTAAAAATAATGCTTACTCCAATAAAAATAATGTAAATTGTCATTACTTTTATAGATGAGTAATTTCATTAAATTAGTGATTAGTGTTACTTTAAATTAATGTAATAAGTTAGTATGAAAAAGTATTTAAATTATCTTCTTTATAAGTTTAAATTAATAATGTATACAGTATTTAAAATAATACTATAAGTACGATTGAATTTAATATATTTTCATTAATAGTATAAACTTAACTTAACCATTAAAATAAGAAATTACGTATTAAATTTAAGAACAATAGGTATTCGTTAAATCCAATACCGATGGTATAAATAGGTAGTGCGGGAATTCCGTATAGCGCCTACACTACTCCGCAGTCCGCACAGTCATCGTATTATGCATAATGCATTTATATTTTATAACCTCTAACAAATCTAACGTACCATTACCATAGTGCATAGACATTAGACGCATAGTTTATTGTCACTCGTTCATTTCACATGTTATTCTGTATCTTTATTCACTTTTTTTCGTTGATTGACATTTTGGCAACTTATTCTTACAAAGTACAAACACTGAAAACCGCCTAAGTCGCACAACGATTATAATAACAATATTATTATATGTTATAAAAATTGTACCTTTAAGCTTAAACCATTTTGTTTTGGTTATATTTTTAATTGACGTTCGTTATGTCAAACGATCAACCAAATATTATTAGTTTTGGTGATGATGATATTCAGTTGAGCGGAGAAACTGCGTTGTTGTTAGAAAAACTGATCGAACTTAAAGGAGAATGTTTTATCAACATATTTATCGGTAAGTTGTTTTTATTTTACTTAAATTAGATGATAATTTTCATCACCTAAGTCTTTTTTGAAGTAAATACATTTAAAATGCATTATCAGTAGGCTTACCGGTAGTTAATTATCCCAAACAATAGTTACCTATATTATTAATCATTTAGTAAATTGTGTTAATGAAAATTTTTCGCTGTGGCTAGAGTCACGGACACCGTGAATATAATGCGTTCACGGACATTCGATGCGCGCATGCGCAAATACTATATTTTGTTATCATGTCCGGGTATCTACTGAGTATCCGGACCATAGAGTAATATAGAGATGCCGTTTCGTATCTCGGCAACACAACTGTTGTGAAGCCAAATGTTAGGTCATTCAACCCAGTCGTGTGTCACTTTAGGAACAGATTTTCTACTAGATGGCGTTAATACACACCTACATTTGATTGATAATACAAGTGATAAACTATAAAATGTAAACAATAATGAATAAACAGTACAGTTTAAATTGATTTTGTATTTGTAGTTTAAAGTTTTGTACTTTTTTATTAAATACTAGTTTATACTACTAAATAAACCATAATGCCGAGCTGTATTGTTTGTGGAAGAACGCGTAATAGCAGATCCAAAGAAAGTAATATAACGTTTCATAGGTAAGTAAAATATATAACAGTTTAATCTGCATTTGCTTATTTTGAATTTGTAGTATATTGTTACAATATTATGTAATTATAATAGTAACTATATAATATGATAAACTTTTTTTCTACTTATTCCTTCTATAATTGTTTTTGGATCAGGATATCTCATGATGAAAATACCCAAAAGAAATGGACTGAATTTTTTGTTGAAAATAATATAAACATTAATGACATCAATAAACATAGCTTAATTTGTTCTGCTCATTTTGAGGCAAAATATATTCAGCAATACAAAAAATCAAGGCAGTTAACTCGTTATGCAATACCAACTATTATTGTATCTCGTGTTTTTAGTGTAAGTTATAATATGACTATAATATTTCTTTTTGAACATTTTTAATCAAATGATTTTCATCATAGGCGAATAATATTTATCCAGAAATGTCTAGACCTTCAACTTCATCTACTATATTACCTACTATTGCTTCAAAACCAGAAATCCAAGTATTATGATACTATGTTTGACATTTAAAAATAAAAATAATTAAAAATTTTTCTAGGTATTGACAAATAATATTTATTGTGATGGAGTGTCTAAATTGGATGACATTGTTACTATGCCAAGCTCAGATATTACCATAAGCAATATTTTGGAGTCAGTAATCCCGCTGGAATCATCATCAACATTTAAAATTCAGAAGCCTAGTTGTCAGGTAATATTTAT